AATTGTTTCCTTATATTGTCGATTAACTATGATTTTCAGGATTTAAATTCTAAGAGAAAATTTTTTCTATGTATAAAATATAATATATTTTTTATTTTAATTTTTTAAAATTATTTTTTACCTATTTATTTATTTATTTTCCATATTTCTATATCTTCTGTATGTTTCTCTATATATTATTTTCTATATTTTTGATATTTATTTTCTACTTTTCGTTTATTATTTTTTATCATTTTAATTATTGGATTTATTTCTAATTATTATACCATATTTTATAAATAATCATACATTTGTATATACCCATACAGCACAAAATATTTTTAAAATCTTTTAAAAATATTTCTTAAAAGATAAAATAATTTATAAAAAAATATTTTTAAAATGTTTCTATGTCCGCTTTTTCATGTTTAAAAAATATTTTTGAATATAGATTTAAATAACTAATATTTTAAAAATATGTATCAAATATTTAAGAAAATCTGAGCGATAAAGAAGAACATTTTTAAAAGTTTTTTAAAATATTCTAAAAAATGTTATCACAAAAAATTTTAAATTATTTTCAAATATTCCTAAAACCATATTTTGAAATGGTTTTATGCAATATTTTATAAAAATATTTAGAAATATTTTTTGAAATTATTCATAATATTTTGTGCTGTATGGGTAATTGGTCGCTAGTTACTTATGAAGCATCTTGTACCTATTACAGCTAGTTCTCTCATTGCAAACGAGACTCGATTGATCGTACTCGATAGCTTCGCTTTATTTAGACTCGATGTCCACGCTCTGAATTCCGATATTCGCGCAGATAGAATCCCTTTTACGGGATTGACACGCGACCTAATGTATCTCGTAATGTTACAAAATACCGAATTTCCCTAATAGAGCATAAACGCAGGTCCGTTGGACCTTTCGCAAGCAAAACGCTCGAATGTCAATTCGAATTACGCTTTTGTTAGAAACTCGATCGCTTAGAATTTAATCAACTCTGTATGGATTGATTTTTTTTACTATCCCATGAATTATAAAACGAACGAATTTGTATGGGTGTATTTGTCGAAAAAAACATGGATATTACAATATATACATAAACCTCGGTTGAAAAAATTCAAATGTTTTTCTCCGCGGACAAGTCAAACTATCTCGCAAAAGCATGCATTATTTGAATAATAAAAAATTCCAAGTTTAAATGTTAGCTCGAAAATCGTACTAATTTCCTCTCTTTACAGTATCACTGACATTTACCGGTGATATTTCCCAAGTGTAATCTTGCCGTCCGTATTCGTTTATAGAAGAGCAAAAAATTTAATCCACGCAAATATTGTAAAAGAGAGAAGCTTTAGACTATTTCTGAAATTTAAATTATTATTTTTTTTTATTTAATAAACCTCTCATTAACTTTTTATTATGTTAGATAGAGATATGTAATTTTTCGCATTTATGCACACAAAAATAAGGGAAAAAAGATAGAAAAAAGGGAGCCTAGTTATATTTAATAAATTGGTATTGAATACATATAAATTATCAGTGAAGATATTGAAAATCTCGTAAAAATAACATTTAATGTAATTTTCGCTCTAATTATCAAAATTCCATCGAAAATTTCACCGTACATAAGATAATGAATACATTTATAAATATCCAACGAATGGAATGTTCGATGAAATTCTACTTTGCAGAGTGATTCAGAAGATGAAAAGTACGATGACAGATAAATATATCTATTTCCTCGAAATATAAATATACGTATAAATCCGTAATCTCGACCGTCATGTGAGAGATAAAAGACACGCATGAATCAACGGGTGAATGGAATTCTCCCGTTCTTAATGATTTTTATCCACAGTATCTGGTCGCACGATCATTCGTTATCGGGCGACATCAGCGATAAGCGATCTCGCTCGGCGAGGCGCAAGTTCGACGAACGGCGCTAATTGGCGTAATTATATAATTGCAAACTCGATGAAAGTATAAAAAGCTTACGTAAAAGCGAATTATAATTGTGACACTCGTGACACGCCATTTCTGTGACTGTATAACTAGAGAGAGATTCGCAAAGGTCGATCGCGATGAACGATCGATTATATATACTCGACGCGGTCAAAATAATAGCAGCGGTCAAGCAATATTTAAACATCATCGTCTTGATTTATTGGCTATTATTAGTCGAATAAAATTTCGAATCGAGCGGTCGCGCTTATAAACGCCGACAATGGATTCGAATTAAAACACGTATTTTTCTTAAACCGAATCACTGAAAATGTCACCGATTAAAGGGATACCGGATTTCATCGAACACCCGTGAATATTTTATTAATCCTCAATGAAAACAGTTACACTTTACTCCTTCTTATATCTCATATCTTATATCTTATTGATTGTAGCATGAGATGTCACTGAAAAATCATATACATTTGCAAAATGTGTCTTGTAAATTTTTTTATATCTTAAATGAAATAGGTATAATTAATATTAAAATTCAGATTTTTTTACTCTTAAGATGATGTGATAAAAATTATTTTTTAAATATTTATTTATTTTTTATATTTCTATGTTCTCTATGTTTCTCTATATATATTATATTTATATATTTTCTATATTTATTTATTTTCTTATCTTTCTATTTTTTATATTTATTATTTTAATTATTAGATTTATTTCTAATTATAATATTTTATATAAATAATCATATATTTCGCCTACCGAAAAATTATACGTATTTACTGAAAGATACGAGTCTTCTGTATAATTTGATCGCTAATTATTTATGAAACATCTTATACCTATTACGTTATATATATATTTGCAAAATGTGCCTTGTACATTTTTTGTCATATCTGAATTGAAACACGTATATATATAATTAATATTCAAATTCAGAATTAATTTTTTTATTCTTAAGATGATATGATAAATTCAGAAAAAAATGACCAAGATTTTTGGTGAAACTCAAATACTTCTCTATAATAAAATATATTACTATAAATTAATTTTAAATTTAATATATTGTAATATAAGACACATTTTAAAATATCACTGATTGAAATAACTCCTATTATTTTTCGTTAATTATTTCAGTGAGTCTCGCTAATTTACTGCTATATTTATAACTGAGACAACGATAATGACTATTCATGCTTCTTCTTGAGTGACAATATACATTTATTCCATTTGAGCGAGTCAATTATCTCTTTGCGAGTTAAACAGTAACGCGTGTGCGTTTCTTAGAATGTTTTAAATATAAAATAATGCGCGTGGATCGCGCCTCGACAATGCAGCGATATATCGAGACAAAGAAGCGAGAGTCGTTCTTATTTTTAATCGCACTTCGCATTTCTTAACATGCGTCATTCGCGGGTTAAATTTGCACGACGCGGTATCGATTTCTAATAAATGTCTAAAGCACGTTTATTAGACGCAGGCCCTTTATAACTTGATTTGCGTGGTACGGCACCTACGAAGGGCACTTTATCGATCTCAAAACAATAGATGTGGTGGAAATGAGAAAATGGACTTCCGGTCGTCGCATGCATGATTTGAATCCCGTAAAAGGTTTCTCATTCTAACATTCAATTTCGCTCCGATGAACCATCCTATTTTTAAGAGGTTCATTAAATCGCTGTTCTTTTTCCTTCCAACATAAGCGATCTCCTTATCAATATCTCACGTTCCGATAAAAATTAATAATATCATATGACAGATATCTTCGGTATCGGCTGCAACAATCTCCAGATGGAGCCTACGAATGGAGACTTGCTAACTTGAAGTAAATCTGTTATCTATTGTTGAACCACTATCCGCTGGTAGCGAAATTCCCTGCAGAGTATTGATTTTATATATATTTTGCCGAAATTTTGTAAATTCTAACAAAAATTCAGCTAATTGAAATCGAAAAAAAAATAAAGCAAATCTTTTTCATACTTTACATATAATCTTCCTTTAGAGTTAGATAATCGGCTCAATGCAATGTGAGTTTATTTTTGCTTATGTTACATTGTTCGGAAAATGATTGACTGTTATTTTTAGGAAAATAAAATTATATTATGTTTTTATATTTGTAATTTAGAAATGTATAAAATTTTTTGACATATTAAAAATAAAATTATAACCAATACTTTGATTAAAATTAAATTCACTCAGTTAACATGCCTTTTTTAAAGAATGGATTCTATGACATTTCAAAAATTTTTATTTTGAAAAGGAATATTATATGAGATTATAATATAAGGCTCAAAATAAATTGTTTGGTATTATGTAAATAAATAATATTTGCGTTAAAATAAAATATTATCACTGCAAATCTTGCTGATTTAAATTCGTAGTACAATATATGATACGTAATTAAATTTTAAAACATATATGGAATAAAAGAATAGAAGATAAATAGGCAAAATTATTCATTTTATGCGAATATTTATTTAATACGATTACAACAATACGATTAAGACAATATACAAAGTATTAAGCGTCTATTTATATTTATTGTGTATAAACGGCGAGCTTCTTTTACGGGATAAAGTAGTCTCATTATAAGTTTTGTACTTTATATATCGCCCGCGAGTCTACTCTGCGAGTCCCTAAAGTTTATTTCTTTAAAGAATCGCAATGGGGTAGACATTGAAGAACCTTATTAACGCAAAGTATATAAATTCTATCGAGAAAGAGAGAGAGGAGAAGCATTATTTATTATTTTAATTCTGCTTTAAAATTTGATAAATAGGAAATCCAGATGACATTTAATTGGTATTACCGATTTATTGGGATTTTAAATATCTCCTATTATACAAAAAAATTAACGTGATAAATTCTGTTTTTAATCCTTCGGAATTTCTATTGAAAAAAATTATTAAATTAATAAATATTTAAATACTGCTTATAAATAATTTATTTGAAACAAATAAATATTTATCTGTTTCGAAAAGAATTTTCTTATATCAAATACATATATTTATTAATTTCAAATAAATGATTTATATGGCAGCATTGAAATAAATATTTATTTGAATTCAATAAATTTTTTCAGTATATACAAAAAATAAAGAAACATCTCAAAAATCTCAGTTTTCGCAGAAATATTATTTATTTTAGCCATTTGGCACACTGAATTGAAAGGCTGTCTCAGAGAGAGAATTAAATTTAAGACGTTTCGTTCGTCGTAACCCAAAGAAATCATCGTCTGACATCTTCGATCTTCAAGAGAAGAGATTTTTCTAGAATCCATTATATTTTCCAAATGACTGACGAGAACAGCTTCACGAGACGAAGATTAAAAGTCCGCTTATTTAGATCAACTCGCGAATTGAATGTCTTCTCGGGTAGCAAGCATATGTCATTTTGACGTTTCGCGATGTCAGTTTGCCACGTGGATTCTCGCGTAGCGGAGAGTCAGGGTTTGTTCGGAGCGCTTCTGGGCCTCTTCGGCGTCGCGTATTTGACGCACAGGAAGCCCAGAATGATGAGAGAGGCCACGATTGCCACGCCGGAGCCCAGCCACAATTCGCTGCGTATGTTCAGCTTGTCGAGGCCGACCTCGCGAAGAGCCAAGGCGCCATCGGGCGGCTCGCAGGCCGCCTGGATGATAATGTCCTGCCGCTGGATCTGCTTGGGCCTGCAGTTCGCCAGTTTGTTCATGCTTTCGCTTCTGTACAGCCGCGGCAGCAGGAGCGACAGGGACCACTGCATCGCGCTGATCCGCTGGTACCACGACGGAAGATTGTCCAGATGCAGGGTCACTCCGCCGGCCAGACTCATCTCGCCCACTATCAGACCGGCGAGCAGAGCCGCCGTGTACGTGGATTCGCAGACGTGCGCGAAGAAGGTGCAGCCGAGGTGCTGCAGCATCAGGTACAACAGACCGATGGCGAGATAGTGCCACAGTGACGTCAGGTTCTCATCCGGAGCCAGGTGCAGCCCGGACATGGCGTACGCCGGCGCCAGGTATATCAGGTAAATCACGCACCAGGACGAGACGCTGCAGATGAGCTGAGAATAAGAGGCGATGTTATTCCTCGAAGCTTATGTTGTTGGAAAAATTTTAGACCTAATGATGGATTCGAGAAATCTATATATTCTTGGCTTTCTGGATTGATATCTTTAAAAATTACACATTTATACGTGTGTTTATTCCCGGGTTGGGTAATTATAATTAATTAGTTAAAAGTTAAAAAAGTTAATAACTTTTAACTTAGTTTGAATTTTTTTATCTCTGCATGCCATTGTTTTATGTTTATTTGACATTAATTGTGATTACCAGAAAATATATTTCTATATAAAAATCAAAATTTTTTTTGTTATTATAAATTTTAAAAGAATTAACAAACAAAATTCTAATTTAATTTTAACTTAACTTTAACTGACAATGAGTTAATTTTTTTGTTCATATCATTTTCACCTTAACTATATTAATTTTATAAGCAACTATAACTTTAACTTAACTTAGTTTTAAAAAATCGTTAACTTATCCAACTCTGGTTTATTATCTAATTATTTTATATCGCAAATTGATATCAGATTTTCCAATTTTTACAGGGTTCCCATAGGAAATTACTGAAATTAATCAGCTGTCATTTTTTAATGCATGCAGTTATTGAGAAAACAAAAATTGTGTTGTAAAGAGGAAAACCTGCAGTTTTTAATACTCACAGAACAACACAGGCACGCGCCGTTCTTCACTTTTATATTAAAAAGATTGATATTAAAAAAATTAATAAAAATTGAACTCCATTAATTTTTTGACAGAAATCAGCTGTTAAAAAATGTGAATCTTTAAATAATATATTATTAATACAAATTAATTAATTCATAAATTAAATTATTTATGTGATTATTAGCACTTTTTATCAATAATATAAACTAGTATACAAACATTGTATTTATATCCATTAAAAACTGTAGACTTTTCTTTTTCCAACACAATTTTTGTTTTCTCAATAACTGCATGCATTAAAAAATGACAGCTGATTAGTTTCAACAATTTTCTGTGGGACACTCTATACATACACATTAAACTTACCTCTACGAGGATGTAAATAAATCTGTTGTACAACCCATCCCTGATGTCTCTCTCTATGTTCGGCCTGGTGTTGGCTACGTCGCACATGGCCAGAAGGCTCAGGGGCCAGAAGAAGATGCCAAAGCTAGCGTAATGATAGCCTATTCTGTCTCTCAGATGTAAATTTGACTCGCCAGCAACATCCCAGAATATTGCACCGAGTAGAATACTGAGCGACGCGGAGATGATGATTTTTCGCAGCAGTCGCGTCAACGTCCACGGTTGACTGTAGATGAGCGTTCGCAATAATAGCGCGTAAATCTGCAGGAATATATTGGGACCGGATCTCGAGGGCGGAAGTGCGCCGGGTGGACCGGGATCGCTGAGAGGAGGTAACCTCGACCTGGCCAATTCCGCGAGATGATCTATCCTCTGCGAGGACTCCAGCATTGCTTCCGCCGATAAGTCGTCCAACGTCACCAAATCAACTGGAAGAAGAGCGATATAACATTATTTGTACGTCTCTATATATTTATTAACTTTATTTTTAATATTATTATTTAATAATATATACAGGGTGTCCGGTAACTAACGGACCAACGATCACAAATGGATTCTTTGGTCAATTTGGGAACGATTTTTCCTCAGCGAAAATGTCGAAAAAGGTCATCATTTTTTACAACTTTCCAATATTTGTCATTATGTATCTTTATAACTAAGCCTCAAATTAAAATTTTATTATACTAAACTCTACCTGAAATTAACTGAAGAATGTAATTATGTTAGACTTTTTATAACTCGAAAATTATTGACTTCTCAACATTTTTGCTAAGGAAAAATCGTCTCCAAATTGGCCAGAGAATCCGTCCTTAATCATTGGTCCGTTAGTTACTGGACACCTTGTATATATTATAAATATTTTTAACTACGTACGATAGTAATCGGACGGATTCTTGAACGGTGGACAGGGAAACTCGGCGAGGGCGAAATATGGCAGCATGTCTCTCCTGAGCCCGGAATACATGATCCTGCCGCCGGAGGTGAGCGTGACCCTCGAGACCATCGTCAGGATCTCGTACGTGGGCGGATGCAGGGTGAGGATGACGAGCCGCTGGCCACGACTGGCCCACTGCCTCAGGTATTCGACCAGGAAGAAGGCGTCGAAGATGTCCAGACCGTGCGTGGGCCTGTCCAGAGCGAGGACGTGCGAGTCTTGCAGCAGTCGACAAGCTAAGGCCAGTCGTCGGGCCTCGGAGGTCGTCAGGGTGTTCACCAGGCAGTGCTTGGTTGCCTCCAGGCCTAGCTCCTGCAGAACGGCCTCGGCTTCCAGCGCGGTGGTGTTGCGGCCGCCTCTTAGCAACATGTAGAAGTTCAGGGTCTGCTGAGCCGTCAGTCCGGGACTCAAACCACTCTCCGTTGGCAGGTAAGCAACGCGAGATCTGTTTGAATTGAAGAGAATATTATTTTGAACTGAATCTGTGCGCGTAGATAATTAACCCGGATAATTAATATCCAAATGATTAATATGTATAATTATCAAAGAGTTGAATCTGGATGTAAAAATAATTTGCCAAGCGCAAGATTTATTGCAATTCTATAAAATGCAAATTGTAGTCGAGAATCGAATATTTTCGTGCAATAAAGAATTAATACATTAGTTACGTGAAACACTTTGCAAAGTTGTTCAAATGATGCGAAACTGAGAAGTTACACAAGATTAAATATTGAACAGCAATAATAGAGGCAATAATAGCGGAAGCGACAATTGAGGCGATAATTGAATAATGAGCGCTGCTTGTTATTCTAACTTAATGTCCAACTATATGAAAATTTGCATCCTAATGCTCTCTCACTAGTTATTACTTGCTAGTTACACCATGTTTCGTTAATGTCGGTTACCGTTATATAGCCGTGGTTAACTAAATCTTTCTTTTCTGCTTGGATCATAGGCAGCGCTATGATCTAGAAAAAGAAAAGGGAGACTGAATGAGCCAAGCTGCAGCGAACATGTTACCGGCCATGAAAATCTCTTATAGTTTTACTTCCATTAAACATCCATAACTATTTTATACGTCAACCGGTGCATTTTTTATTGTACAAAATTTTTTTTTTAAATTTTAAATTGAGGTGTTTCTTCTACAAAGCAACAGCTATCAATTGCGCAACGCGTAGTGACTCATTGCTACGTACTACAGGAAAGCGTACGTATATGAACGTGCAGGAAGAAGATTAGAAAGTATACCTCAGAGTACGTGCCGATACGGATCTTCCATTGAGCAGAATATCGCCTCTCTTTATGCGTCTTCTGCCAGCGATCGTCTCGACGATCTGCGTGCCTTCCTTCTCCGTGGTAGCCATGATGGCCAGCAGCTCGGCGGCACCGGCCTCGAGGGTGACACCACGAAGAAGCGGCAGTCCGTCCGAGCCTGAAGCCTCCACACCTCGCAGCTGCAAGTGAGGATGCTGCAGACACGCCACGGGTCTCAATGGCAGCGCGTAACCTTCCGGTCCCAGGATACCCGGGTGGCCTGCAAAATTTGATAAAAATTAATTTAGAAAAAAGAAAGAATTTGTTAACCCTTAGTCCCGACGGTTCTTTTCGGCACCTTTAATCCCGACTCATGGGTCTTTGCGTTATTTGGATCAGTAAAAACGCTTTAAAAAATCTGAAGAAATTCATGGAGCTTCTTGCAACCTTCAACTTGAAGTCCCAATCATAATATTTCGATAAAAATTATTTTTTTATATAGTTTGTTATTAAGAAAATGAGGTACCTAAGGAAAAATCACTTGTTCACTGGGTCGCAAACGATCCATGAGTCGGGACTAAGGGTTAATAATCTTATTTGAGGCTGAAAATTGATATAAATTATACATGGATGCTGAAAGTACAATCAGAATTTAGAATCCTCTCGTACCATGCGTTATGTATCCGGGATCGATCGGCGCGATGCTGTGTCGCCGATTGGTCCTGACTGCGCTTTGTAGAAGATTAGCTTCGCTCGCGCTCCTCAGCCTCGGATGATCCCTCGCGACAGTTAATTGAGAGTGCGTTTGTTCTCTCGGGACCGCGTGAACGTGCCTGAAGTCCGGATCGCTTCTGGCTGAGCGCATAACTGACGTCGAATGCACCGGGACGCCTATGCATTTGAAATAAGAGCAATCGTTATCATAAAATACTATTATTTAATCTTGAGAAATTATATATAATGTATTATAATATACAACATTTTATTATCATATATTATATATTATATGATATATAAAAAAAATAACGTAGAAAAATCGAAATAGCCATCTCGGATACTCTAAAAGTATAATATTCTTTAATAACAGATTATTAATATTAAAGTTAATTAATATTAAAAGATGCAATAGAGAGAAAAATTAGAAGAATTAATTTATATGTGAAAATAATAAATGTATACCTGCGTGCGATACGCGTCGTCCTTCCTCGCTGGAATCGTAGCCGCTGGAGCCGTCGCGATTCCGCGAGCTGGGCGGCAAGACTCGCGGCAGGCCGAATTTCAAGTAAGTGTAGGAATTGTTGGCGAGTGGGCTCTTGGGCCCGTATCGCGGATGTCGTAGGATGCTCTGCACCGTGGAGTCGCGGAGCTGGAAATTCCCGTAAGGCAGCGGCGACTTCTCCGCTGAGCCGAGCGCGGAGTCCGTGAAGTCCGAGTTCAGGTTTTGCCTGGCGGAGCAGCAGAAATGCATATAAATAAATATATATATATATATATATATATATATATATATAAAATATATGTAGAAAATTATATATTATATTTTTTATATTTTTTTTTTACATAAAAAATATAAATATATAATATAATAATTGCTCTTCTTAATTTATCAAAGATTTTCTGTCGCTTAATATTATATAAATTATTATGAAAAATCTTTAAAAAAATATATTGATTACATGAATATTTTTAAATATTAATGACGATCATTATACATGTATATACGGTACGCTGTAAATGAGAAGCCCGACAAAGCGATTCTTTCGATCCTTTCGCATAGCGATGAGTAGCATTAAAAAAAAATCACCGTAGGCATTCGCTTTGGTTCCGCCTCCGGTGAGGCTCAAATTGGAAGATGTACGACGCGGATTACACGCTTCCACTTTAAGTACAAGTGTGTTCACCTGTAAATCGACCATGCGTGCAAATCCTCGCTGGCTGGCGGCTCCAGTCCTCTAGTGTCCAGGGCTCCTGGCACCGAGTATCTTCTCTCCAGCTCCCAGGCTTCCGAGCCCATATTTTCCGCTGTCTGCGCAGATATAGAGACGACCGGTTAAATAGCCGTGAATTAATCTAAGAGAACGTTCGTTCATCTCATTTTAATTATCGCGCCTTATAGCGTCGCCGAAGGGAAAGTCTAAGCTCCACGAATTTTTCGTCAAAAATCCAAAAATTGAAATCATTTTATTCATTATTATTTTATTACAAGAATATAAATAATATATTTCTATATATATATATATACAATTTTTTTAGATTGTAATTCGTGAAACTTATCGTATAAAAAATCTCTTCGACAAGATTTGTATTCTAATTCGTCATCGAAATGTGTAATGAAAAATTGTTCACACGAAGAGAGACGTTCGCGCAATGAATTTCCTTCGATAGACTCGGTGTGGGATTTATCGCGCGGAGCGAGGCTGTTATTAAAGCGTACAGGAAGGAATTCTCTTGTATCGTCCTGGAAAGTCCTGCGGATACCTGCGGCCGGAACGACGACGATTTGCCTCACAAGCAAGAGCGCCGAAGCAATTTCAAAGGCGCGCCGATTATTCGCGCGGCTCCTTGGAATGCCGGCGTGATTCTCAGAGCGATTATACACCGTGTCCGAATATAACCGCGTCGGTCACCGCGAATTTATTCCCTCATTGTTCCAGAAAATCGAAAAGAAAAATACGTGCGAGATTTTTTTCTCAAATAAAAAGAGAGACTTTGTAATATAAAATTGCAATAAGGTAGTCAATTGTAGGTCTCATCTTTGATCTACCGTTCAGAAATGCTCCGTTTTCATCCCCGTCTTAAATTACAGCACAACAACTTTTCGCGCGCAAGAAAGAGTTAGGCGGTATATTTCTTTCTTCCCCTAGAAGGATTCGAAACTTTTTCAATAAGCTGACGCGTTCTTCCTTTGCACAGATTCTTCCCACCGATGCATGCGATGGAAGGAGAAACCGAAGGTGCTGTCGTGACGGAGTTCCTGGCCGTTGGCGAACAAAGGAGTTCCTGGCCTCGTCGAATTTTATCGCGATGGAGCAAATTGTTCTTGCGTCCATAAAGGAACTCCGCAGACTCCAGAGAATGCATCTCTCCACAGGTACACACTATATAATATCTCTATGTATCTGATGCGAACCCCTACATTGTTAAATATATCTACGAATTTTTTCTCATGCTATTTTTTTATATCTTATAATAATTTTCCGTGTTGAATTAATATTTTTTTCAAGCAATTTTCCAAAATTTTTGGAAGATCTGCATACAAGATTTTATTACGATGTGATGAATTTTTTCTCTTTCTCTCGTGCTATTTTTTTACATCTCGAATAATTTTCCGTATTGAATTTAAATATTTTTGGAAAGCGCATACAAGATTTTATCGGTCTTATGAGACTATTAGACATCATTTTTACAAAGATATACAGATGGGGTACAGATATATCGGAAATTAGCGTCTGTGGTACCAGCATATAACAGTACGTTTAATGAGGCAAATTACGAAAAGCGGCGCGAAATGTCAGGTGGCTATCGGAGCGGATTTAAATCGGTCGAGAAGTTGATAAATTCTGGTCTCTCGCATATCTCGTCTTCCTTTTAACTCGCGGCACATCCTAGATCGATTATGAGAGACAAGCGAGTAATACTCGTTTTCTTGCATAATCTGCGCCGACGCACACTTAAGCGACGATAACTCGTTAGATGACGTTATTACGTTATTACGGACTTTCTCCGTACAAGGTCTCGCATCCGTAATCTGTCGCATCTCGCGTAACTGGATATTTTTTCCTATTGTTAATAGCTTCCGGTTTTACGCAAAACAATCTGAAACATCAAGTACGTTTCAATTCAAAATCGTGCTTTACAAAATTCTTTAAAAAGTTCTAATGGCATATTGCATTTTATTATTTTAGTTCCTTATTCTTGTATTTTCTTATTTTATATTATTTTATTATTTTATGATTTTCTTACTTTATCATTTTATTATTTAATTACTTTATCTTCGTATATTTTTATTACCTGCAGTTTTCCTTATCGTATTTTTTCTTATCATACCATAAATAGTTTCCGGCTTTACGTAAAGCACGCTTTAGAAATGCATTTTCACTAAAGTTTATGCCTTTAAAAGTTTTTTCTGTGATATAAATTTTTATTTATCTTCTTACTACTTAATTTTATATACACACTGAAAAAAAATTGTTAACTAAATCGTTTAACAAAGTTTTGTTAATTCAACATAAAGAAATATTTAAATTAAATATAATAACATGTTACATATCTAACAAAACGTATATTTAACTTAAACTAATATATGTTCAATTAAAAAAATATTTCATATTTTAGTTGATTAAGTTAACAATTTTTTTCAGTGCATACATAAAATCAAGTAGTAAGAAGATGAATAAAAATTTATATCAGAAAACATTTTTTTAAAAGCATAAACGTTGCCTAAAGCCAGAAATTATTTATGGTGTGACAAGAAAAAATGATAAGGAAAACTGTAGATAATAAAAATACAACGAGATAAAATAATAAATTATTTTATTTTTAGATGAATCTTTTAATGCATCATTTTTATCTTTTTTCCACCTTTACATTATTTACCCTAGCGCTTTATAAAACTTATCTTTATTACACTTTCTGCTTATAATTGCCGATATTTCTTAATTGCGTTTCCTGTTTACCGCGTCGCGATGCGCCGATAGACTCGCAAGCAGAGATTCATCACCGTTATCGAATATTTGCGCTCTCGGTGTTGATGTAGCGCCGGGTAAAGGCACTCGTAAAGCCTCATCGTAAAGGTATCATCGGTGTGCGATTCGCGCGAGGAGACGCGTGTATATAAATGTCTGTCTCGAGAGGACGAGCACGCAGCATCCCATTTAACGGTGGTGTTTGCGACCTAAAAACGCGACACGCACCTGTTTCATCAGCTTTTAATGGCTTTTCGTCGCGAGAAGCGCCGTTCCGTACCGGGTGGCCGAATAGTAATAACGCCGAATATCAGAATTGGGTAATAACTAATTAATTAATTAAAAGTTAAGAAGTTAATAACTTTTAATTTAGCTTAGTTAATTTAAAATATATTAATTTTTAACTTCAACTAGTTATTTTTTGTCTTAAACTTATTAACTTTTTTCTTAAGTTAAATTTTTTATGTTATAAACGTATTTTTTTTTTTTTTTTAATTAAAGTATTGTTAATTTTTATGTTTATTTGTCATCAATTGTAATTACCAAAAGATATATTTCTATATACAAGTCGAAATATTTTCTGTTATTTGATATTATATATTTTAAAAGAATTAACAAACAAAATTCTAATTTAATATAAATAATATTTTAAAAAATTAACTTTTGAGTTAATTTAATCTTAACTAAATTTTATAAGCAACTAACTTTAACTTAACTTAGTTGAAAAAAATCATTAACTTAGCCAACGCTGTCGAATATTAACATTTCCTTGCCATATAAAAGGGCGTGAAAATCGAAAATAATTAGGAATTCTCGTTTGTTACGCGAACACTTTGATGATAAACTCTCCCCCCTGTGGAGAGAATAGAGCATCGGCTTAGATATCTCTCGCGCCTTATTATAATTCCATCTTGATGAAACTTCTACAAGAATGGAGCAGCACGCACGAGTGGAAGCGACCCGATTAAGGAGATCAAAGTTGTTAATCTCAGCCGCGCCAATTATAACGATCTCCATTATTCTCGAACTTGTATATATTAAGTACGTAGCATATCGGAAATTCTGTATAGTTGCATCCTTCTAAAATAGAGTTTCGTAGAATCGCACACTGAAAGAAAAATTTATTGAATTCGAATAAATATTGATTTCAATGCTGCCTAATTAATCATTTATTTGAAACTGATAATATTGATTTGATATATGGAAAAAATATTTATTTGACATAAGAAAACAAATAAACAGATATTTATTTGTTTCAAATAAATGCATGATTTATTAGACAGTATTGAAATAACTATTTATTCATTTAATAATTTTTTCATATCAATTTGATATCTATCGAGCACAAATTAGTAAAAAAATTTGCTTCCTTTTTTAATAAACACTGGAATTTATATATTTGATATAAAAAAATGAAAATAACAAAATAGCAAAAATAGTAAAATTTTAAAAATTAAGAGAACAAAAAATAAAAAAAATTAATTATGCCCTCTCCTGGAAAAAATTCTGCGGATCCCCACGTTCGATAAATATCACTGAATAAAAATTATTAAATGAATAAATATTTATTTACTCATGCCCATTCAATTTTATCGGAAGAGGACATTAAATTAATTAGGGGTGTCTATGAGAGAACCGGCTTCGGATATTTTTGTATCCTTCTCTCTACGATGATGCAAATGGAACGTTATACATCGAGCTACCTGCGAACCGCAACGAGAAACGCATAGGTACATAAACCATCTGCTTTATTGATGCGATGACAGGTTTTAATTTATCCCCGCGTGTATTATAGTTGGCGGTATGCGGCTTCTCATTTCCAAGTTCCTACACGACCGCAAAAATGTATCGAGTGTCCGACGAATTCGCGTGAAATGTTGATTGAATCATCATACGAGTCCGTAAGAACGTCGATGTAATGAAAATATTAACGATAAAAATCTTTCTCATGCGTATAATTAGAATGAGCCGGTTGAACTCGCGCATAATTATATACCGAGAAATTTTTATTACGGGGTATTATACATTCCAACACTTTGTTTTGCACGATTCACTTTATGACGCGAGCTTTTAAGCGTCCGCATTTTGCCGATCAGATTTTATCTATCAATTATAAATATATTAGGAAGATTCTTCAGGTCTGTCGCTCTGACGTTGCTTATGACAGTTTTAAGATCCGCGTCAGCGCAGATGTTACGTATTTATACGTCGCCGAATGGAATGCACAGAATTATATATAATAATAATGTCTGTTTCTTGAAGCGAGTGGCTTTGAACAACATTCCGGATGATACGGACGAGGTACATTTCTAGTTGCCAGATGCTGATGGAATGACATTTTTTTCTTCCTCGTCCAAGAGTTTCCCGTTAGAAGTGACTCATCAGCGAGTCCCTTGTATGAAACTGAGCTAGCTCAGGAACGTTCGCCATGAGTTGTGCTCGCGCGTGAGAACCGACAAGGTTGAAATCGCGCTCCACCTTATCAAAAGGAAAAATAACAGAGCGCCGAGAGTGCCGTTTGCTAGGGCTATGATTTTTCAAACGGAAATAAATTGTTTTCCCAGCTGACACACTTGTGTGCGACCTTTCGATTTTTGGGATAAAGGACCCCGCATTAAATACAGGATTTGATTTTTTTTATATGTTGTAGCTTAGGTTCTGCTAAACAAAAGATAATTACTAAGTTATAGTCAAACAACTCCAACTTTTTCGTATTTGACTGACTATTATTTAGTTTTGAGCTTATTATTATATTTTTGTTCGGCAGATTATAAGTTACAGCATATGAGAAAACCAGCTGATCTTACCAAGATTTAATTTTATATGATTAGTGCGGGATTGTGGACTTATATAAAATCCTAGATGAAGTTGAATCCCGGTAAAATCAGTTGATTTTCTTCTAACTTGCTGAACAAAAAATATAAAAGGCTCAAAGCTAGTAGATGGTTTTATTAATTTAGAACTTTGCGTGTTGTTTGATTAACTGTAACTCAAATCGAATATTTAGCTCTGAGACTATTACATCTTTTGTTCATCAAGTCATAAGTTACAACATATGAAAAAAAAAACAAACCATAATTCAAGGTTTTTGATGCGAGCTTCTTTGACAGTTTGCTCCCTAAACGAATCTTCGTTCATAAGAAGCGAGTGTAAAGAGATGCAGATTTCTTCTGGACAAACTTGCAAATAGTTAGATTAGAACGTCATGTCAAGTATGACACAGCAATGTGCGTCGAATTAATTCGCAAAAATAGCTGTGATATCTTCCGCGATGTCATCGTAACGAGAACTGCAATGTAACACGTGTTCATCGATGAAGTCATCGATCAATAGACCGAACGAAGTTCTCTTCTCTTTATTACACGCGTTTCTTTGTATATACAGCTGTTTTTAACTGACAAGAAGTATAACGGCATAATCTATATTGTAATATCGAACTTCGCAGAACTTCTATTATATCCACCAGAATTTTTTCTACCAACTAGAAGCAAGAATAACAAAATTATAATAGACGAACTAACGAGAAGTAGAAGGATCATCTCGCTGGTCCGAGATCATATAATGCTTGTACGAAAAATATATAATTTAATTCGAGAGACAAATGCGACGACACGCGGAAGATGAACCGGCAAGGGTAATAAACGATGAGAAATTATGCGTTTTCGCGCGTCGAGGCTGATGAAAGAGGGTCCCTGAACATAAATCGTCGCTCGTCGAACAAGGTGGGTTTGAGTTCTCCCTGGGGTTTCTCTTTGTGTCATTGCATTGAGCGAACGGGCTGCTTGAATAGCGCCTATATTATCGTACCCGCATACGAAAGGAGAAAAAGTCTGCGGGTATGTATGGTGTTTGTGCAAGCAAACGATCGTCGTCTCGTCACGTCGCGTCGCCGCTTGCAACCGACAATGGACGTAGGTTCCTGCTGAGTTCGAATCCTTGCTCGGTCTCACGATCGTGCGTGGAATGATTAACCCACGCGTTACGGATGGGAGACACATATATTGTGGACTCGGGGCTAACAGCTCTCATTAAAGGACTTGGGAAATGAGGAGAGAAATCTTTCGCGGTCTAGAGACAGAGAAATATATATAATATTCTGTCTTCATTTTTTCTTAAGGGGATGTCTGTTTTATGGATCAGATGATTATAGATTTTTCTGCACCGAAATCTTTTTATTGGTTTAATAAAATAATAAATGCTTTTCCACAATTAAAACACGTACAGAAACAAAATGGGAACTTACTGATTTTATGTTACAAACAAGAAAAAAATTTAAAAACTAAAATTTCTTTATCGATTTCTGTCGTCAGGTCGAAAAAAATAATTGTTTAATATAAAAGTTCTGCTGTTTGTACGTACAAACATTATTTTTAAATAATCCCACACTTACATTGTATATCCCACTTATACCTCTTCACATAGTTAGAAACAGCTCATGTATGAATACACATCATCATCGCAATTTCTCTCCATGTTCCGTTTGGAAAAAAATTCATTTCTTTAAAAAGTAATATCTTTGAAACTAAACGGTGGAAAAAATTTATTTTTTTTTTTTAAATAATCCCACACTCATATTGTATACCCCACTGATTTTTTATTAAAATCGTAAGATCCGTTCTATTGTTATATATTAAAATGCCATCCTTTCACGTGGTGTATAGAAAAAATGCTATTTTTAATTGTAAATAACTGTTAAACTAAACGGTGAATCGACTTCAAAATTTCGTAATTGATAGATATTAACTACGTCTACAACATATTAAAATTTCTAAAAATTCGTAAGAATTGTGAAAAACGATAGAACTACCTTAAGACAGGATATTGGATTTCTCTCCTCGTTTTAAGAAAATTAAAATATGAATGAATAAAGCTATCTAGAAACAATTTTCGCACTTGCAAGTCCACTTTTGACTATTCTCATAATATTGTATTTTTATTTCTTCGTATTGTCATAAAAATATTTCATGAAATAGTTATCACTATTGCTGAGATTCCAATTTTCACAATGTATTGCTAAAATATCGACATTTCACCTTTATATATATTTCTGAACTATCTTATCATTTTCTTTAATATATAAAAAATAATTATTTTTCATATTTATCTATTTTATTAATTCATTTCATAAATAATATATTAAGTTTTATTGTATTGAACTTTAATAATTCTTCAAATTATATAAATATATCAATTTTTCTTCCTAATTAATTATTTTTACATTTATCTAAATCTTATTAATTTATTTTATAAATAATATATTAATTTTTATTTTATTAAACTTTATTAATTTTCTGAGAAATCGCATTTGATGACATTATTTTATACCCACCGTGCCATATAAATTATAATAATTAATAGACAAATGGCATGCAGTATTGTGACTTTCTTGAGTCTAAATGTGTCTCATAAAATATTTTTTTCCGAGTTTTTTAGACGCGGAAACCGGCTCGGTCTCGCTGCTATTTCAATCGCGGCTTTTTTCATTCACATTCAAGCGCACCTCGGACGCATAAAACGCGATATTCAATGTCCGCGCGCACGTGGCTGTTGCAAAGTATAATGTATACCGATACAGAACTGAATCGCCGTACTTATATATGTATTTTTCAATTTGCGTAACACGGTGATTTTTACGGACGGCCCGATAAAACCGCCTCACACGCGGACGGCCCGGTTAACTGTTCATTTGCATATCCCGTTTCTGCAACAGTTGTATCGAGCGACGACCGTGCGATTTCGCGGTATGAATTCTCCATTAAAAGTTGTCCGCCGTTGACCGACGTTTATTTTTTTGCTGGCGTTTATGATATCGTTTCCGCGCGAGAGCAGGAGAGAAGAAAAGTTGTTGCGCGCGCGATATTCGTATAAAGGCCGGCGATGATACGCTCGGAAAAACGGGCCTTATAGCGCGCGTTAGCGCAGCTGAGCATGTCAAAAGCAGGCGGAAAGTGACGTCTAACATCTTCGCCGGATGTGCATCTGTATATATATATATGGTTGCGCGCGATACCTGGAAAAATCGCCGGTCGCGTGATTGCGCTGTTACGACGATCGCGAATTCGCATCGCGATTCTGAATTCGCGGTCACGCTGCTTAATGTAATCGGAGGACAAGCGGTTGAAAACGAGACCGTTTTGCCAATGTTCCTGGGATGCAAATGTCCCAGAAATTGCTTCTCGAAAAAATGTCACGGGTGCATTCTTCCATCAAGTGGTATATACTAAATATTCTTCTATTTATATGTAATATCAAATTTAATATTTTATTCCATATTGCAACATCATATTTAATTAATTATCATATTTATAACAATATAATTATAATAAATATTACATTTTAGTTCTATTTGTATGTAATATATAAAGTTTAATATTTTATTTCATATTACATCATATTTATTATAATTATAATTATAACGAATATTATATTTTAATTATACAATTAAACATAATATCGCAATATTAGAATAAAATGAAATATGTTATTTAGAAATTTAAAGGAAATGATAAGATAGTTCGGGAATATATAAAGATAAAATGTCGATATTTTTGCAGTCTAGGAACGCATTGTGAAAATTGAAATCTCAACGATAGTGATAACTATTCCGTGAAATATATTTTTATCATGACAATATGAAGAAATAAAAAATACAATATTATGAGAACTGTCCAAAGTGAACTTGCAAGTTCGATAATTGTTTCTAGATAGCTTTATTTATTCATATTTTTGATTTCTCTCTCAGGAATTATATTGTTATAAAATCTCTTCATAAATATTTAAATAAATTAATAAATTTTTGTACGAGTCTATACTTCAAGCCAACTTTTAAGCATTTTTATATTTTACGATCTATACAAATTAAAATAATTGCAGTTGATAAAAATTAAGTTATTAATTGATTAATCTAGATTTTTATTGAATTATATTATTCTATATTGAAAAACTAAGATTTCAATTTTAATTTTTTAGATTAGAGTTAATCTTCTAGCGTCCAGATATACAGGGTGTCCGGTAACTAACGGACCAACGATTACAAATGGATTCTTTGGTCAATTTAGGAACGATTTTTCCTCAGCGAAAATGTCGAAAAAGGTCATCATTTTTTACAACTTTCCAATATTTGTCATTATGTATCTTTATAACTAAGCCTCAAATTAAAATTTTATTATAGTAAACTCTACCTGAAATTAACTGAAGAATGTAATTATGTTAGACTTTTAACTCCAAAACGTTTAGTTTTCAAAAAACCCATTTTTTTCAATCGTTTATAACTCGAAAATTATTGACTTCTCAACATTTTTGCTAAGAAAAAATCGTCTCCAAATTGGCCAGAGAATCCGTCCTTAATCATTGGTCCGTTAGTTACCGGACACCCTGTATATGCAAAAATTGCAAGCAACGATCACGGAATGTCTCCGCAATATATTTGGGAATTTCTCGGCTCTCAACCGCGAAAGACAACGGAAGCGATATCTCGATTTCGTGATCTCTAGTCTCTCCACTGTGAGACTATCCCACGCACTGATTTCTATACCTATATGTATACACCAGTCAACCGTGCACCATGTATCTAAATAGAATATACACCGTAGCCTAGATCATACAGTAGTGTTACAGGCATAATTATTATCCGCGCACGCAATAGGATTGTAGAAACCGCGGTGGAAAGTCTACGTTCCGAAAATCATCCCGAGATCCGCATCTCGCGTGTGCACAACGAAATTCTATAACGATTCAAAGTGCATTCATAATTAATTAAACGTCATTAGTTTCGAGACTTTAATTTTAGGGAAAGAGAACATGCATTCTTCCATGTATTTCCGCTCCTTTTATCCGCTGTTAACGTGTCTTAATAAGAGAAATAAATTCAAGTAATAAAATAACTGACATTTAAGATTTAATTAATCGAATAATAAAATATCTCGATTTAAAGGAAAAAAAAGAGAAACTTCAGTATATGGAGTGAAATCAGAAAAATAACTAAAATTTTTATATTTCTCTCTCTCTAAAAATTTACTCTCTCTCATTATCTATCTAACAATTGCTTGTATTCATTAACTAAAAAAATAGGTAATATTTTCATTATAACATTCCATCAATATAAACTATACATTGTATACACTGTCGACCATAAAAATATTACACAACACGGATGAATGCAGTATACTTTTACTACTTCATTATAATAAACAATGATGAGCAACCATCGGACCGCAAAACTTCATCAGGGAATGCAGGATATAAGCGAGGTCAGTCGCTGTTATTAGATTTTTCAATATTCCTGCACCGAGGCCTTCTCGAACAGAGAGCGAGAGAGGAAACTAATTGAAATTGCAAATCACTCGTAGAATCGCGCTCCGAAGTGTCGGAAGTATCGGGAGATGCACTCTCGCGTGCGCTCGTTAAAGTCTCCCGTGACTCTACGATTTCGCGAAGGAAAAAGGGACGCGCTTGTCGTCACCGATAACGAGATTGTCGGGATACGATTTATTGATATATACAATTTTTTTCAGATATTTAATCGAAGTGAACGGATTGAATCCTATTCCTTTTCCGCTTGCGGACTACAGCCGGTCTTGCATCGCTAATGAGGGAACACGCGGAATGCGACGAAGGAATAAATGATGGCTCGGACCGCGCGCGCTTTTGCTTTTTACTTGAAGAAAACGCGCCTTGGGAAATATGAATAAACATACGAGAAGGTAATGTGAATAGTAGAAATCAAAGTCTCTTTGTTTTTCCGAGTTAATTAATTGCAAAATTAAATTACTTTAATGTTAATGTTTAATTATTCCTTGCTTAATTGGTTTAAAAGTTAGAAACTCGAGGGAGAAACGATAGAATATATATATATATATATGTATGTATATATCTCACGCGAGGTTTTTCTAAAGAAAAAATTAAATTATAAAGATATGTATAAGATTTAAATCACAAGAATGTTTTAGTATATTTGTCTTCGTTTTTTCTCCCACTTCTCTCTATGTATAAAATTCAAAAGAATTTTAAAACAACATTTCTCCGACGTAAATTGGGCGCGTTCTGTCTTTGTAATCTAATCGACTAAATCCGTCCATTCTCATGAAAGTAAGACATTATCTTCGCGCATGTAACACAAGTAGAAATAGTAGTTTCACGCGCACACATAATAGAAATTGCGTTGCTACAGTTTAGAATATGGCGAAACGTGAGCTTTGTATGCATTTTGCAATAAGATTTATTCCGCAATAAAAATTTTTTATTTCATTACTCGTGGAAATCATACTGTAATAAAAATTAAACTATTAATTTTATTAGTAATTATCAAGTGAATGAACAGTTTATTTTTTTTATATTTATTTATATCTTATTCTAAACTGTTTTATACTACTTATTTTTATTAAATTTTACTTATATTTATTTATCATATATCTGCCTATTTATATTATATTTTGTATTACTGCTTATATATATTAACTCCTTATTTAATAGGTATAATAAATTAATTTTGTATTAATAATTTGTAATTGCATTAAGTAGTAATAATGTATTAATATGTTGTAAGTAGCAGAAGAATTATAAGATAATATATGCAAATATTGTATTATGTGTTTATGTCGTCGCATTTTTAAGGACCACTTGTCGGACTAATGGGTCGCTCGTTCTACTTCCTTGAGAAAAAAGCACTTGTAGTTTAACTTGCACAGTATGCGAGCTTTTAATTTACGGTTCAACGATGAGGAAACTCGATTTTGCATAACGAAAGGCTCGCCGGTACCGGTGAAAGCAACAGGTGATTAACAATCGCGCCGTTATTTCGTTTTTGAGGGCGGCTGATTCGCTCCGCGGATTCTCGATAGTTTTCATTTTGGAGAACCGTGACATTTTTCACATATTGCATAATCGAAATCTATGTAATCTGAAATGCTCGCCATCTGCTAATCATTTTTCTCCATTATTGATTTTTATCTTTGAAATGTAAAATTTATTCTTAAATGAAAAACTTAGGATCGTTCTCTTAATTTCTCATAAATTATGTTATCTCATAAATTATTATTCGCAAAATATTCGCTTTACACTCGATTTATTATTGCTTTTAAATTCTCGCTTTATTTCCGAAATATTTATCGCATTTTATTTTTAAATTCGACAGCCGAACTTGAGATAAAAATTTATATTTATTTATTTTTTTTTTTGTAATCTTATAATATGAATTTCTAATTTATATTTAAAACTGTTGTATCTGTTATGCAAACGCGAGACTCTCAATTATACTTTTAAATATAAATGTCCGTGAGAATCGAATATAAAATAGAGTACAATTTAAGAGATAATTTAAATTCACAGGACACACATATACAATATTATATCACATATCAAATATTTTATATATCGAGAAGATAATGAAGTATTTTCTATACAATGCTCTCAAGAATCTTTCCTCGATGCTTTTAACACATAAAATAAAATAAGTTAATTTTTTTCTTCATTTCATTTTTTTGAGCATACTTTCATTCATCCTTAGCACCATCAATAGAAATTGATCAACTATGACCTCCTTTAGGAATTAAACCTTTTAATCCTTTTGATATTCCTCTAATAAATACAATTATTTAAATTTCCTCTGGAATAACAGTAACTTGTGAACCCATCATTCAATTTTAAATAAAAATTACTCTGAAAGATTTAAAAGTCTACTAATTACTATGATTCTTGGAATCTATTTTACCCTTTTACAATTAATTGAATATATTGAATAGACTGTCCACCCCTAAATTTTCAACTATCGATTCAAAAATCAAAGAAATACACATGAAATTTCTTTTCGATCCAGGAATCTACCGAGGCCAAGCAACATCGAAGGTATGGATTTGAGGAACGGAAAAAATCGCGTGCACGACAGGATGAAAGGATAGAAAGAGAGAAAGAGAAGCGGAGGCTGCGCCGCATGATCCTCATGATAATGACTCACCGGCTATGTATGCGCGCTGGGCCTTCAACCTTGGAAGCTGGTCGAGTCACGACGGTGACGACGCTGCTGCCTTCTCTCCATGCCGGTCGTCGATCCTCCCGGTCGAGGGATTCACTTTTCGCGGCAGGACGCACAATTCGGAAACACAAGGTCTCTCCAGCTCTTCCTCGTCGTCGGGATTATTCCCCAGCCGAGAAAGATCCTCTCCTGCGGCGATCGCGAAGCGCCGGGTTTCGCGCGACTCGCCGGAGTCCTGTGCTCAACCGCTGACGGACGGACCCGCCGAGAGGCCCCCACGAGTTTTCTCCCTTCTGGGGCCCGAGCGTGCCCCACCGTCGACTTCGCCAACTTCCCAGTGGCGTAAACTCGCTTTTGGATTTTACAATTCGATCCGCGATTTTCTTCTGCATTTCGCTCATTTTAGTACACGTGCATTCGAGTTAAGAAATTTTTTGGAAGAGTAAAAAAATGATTTCAAGCTAGAAATGAAAGGAAATCGAATTCAAGTATAGAAGAGTATTAATTAATGTGAAATTAATTTGTTAAAATAGCTTTGTATATGCTTTCTTTCACTGGCGGATCCTGGAGGGTGGTTTTAAACTTTTCTTCCAATAATTCCAATTTGCGAAAATATTTTTAGTGTTTAATCAAATTTTGTAGAAATCTTCTCTTTCCATTATCCTTTTTTTAGTATCCGCTAGTGCTTTCTTTAATATAATTATACTTGATTTGTTGAAAAAAATTATCTACGTCATCCTATACGATGTATAATTAAAATTCTGACTTTTTAAATTATTATAAGAAGAGCAACATTTTAATTTTGCCATAAATATTGAAAATATTTTACATCTAAGTCAAACTGTCAAACAGCATTTGTACCTAATTTTTAACATGCTATTTTAATTTCCATCTTATAACGCTTCACAATTCACACAAAATTTGCATTCCTGATTTGTATATAACTACTAATTCATATTCAAATAATTTATACCCAATATGAAATGTATTTTTCGGACATTTCAGACAAAGAATTCGAAGAATGTCTCGCAGGGTCCTCGGAAAATCTCCCTCATCGCGCTGCTCTTACGCCGATGCTCAGCCTGGGTCGGTCTCCCTTCCATCGCGCGAGTTCGCGTCAGGAGAAGACATTCACCTCGAGGAGAGCCAACTCCCAGCCAGCCAGGTATCGTTATACCTGCGGCTACGCGTTTCCTGCGTCCCAGCCTCGCTCGAGCGAGTCACTTTTACGCTCGCGGCGCGGCGATCTCAGTACGCGTTGCAATTCGCACCGCGACAGCCGCTCTGAGGAGAATACTTTGTTATCGTTGACGCGTTTTATCGAGATCTACCTATTTTGCAAACGAACTTTTCCGCGACAACTCGTTAGCGCGAGGCGTCGACTCTTTACTTAAGTGCACGCTCGACGATCAAGTACGCGGTTGACGGATGGATCTAATGACAGCTCCGCTCCTTAGTGTACTCCAAATGTTATTTGCAACGGATATTACTTATTTCTAATATCCTGAGAAGTTTGTATCTCTTTTTTTGTGATATTAATTTTATATTAATTTTTATTTCTAATTTTTGTTGTCATTAATTAAAAATATAATTATAGTTTATCCTCATTCGAAAATTTTGACTTAATAAGTGAAAATATATTAATTAATAAATTGAATACATTGCAAAGAGAAGATTGTTTTGTAAATAGGATTATTTCTACAATTAATTATTTGTAGTGGGAAAGATATGAAAATAATATTACATTATTATTTATTATAATATAATTATATATAATTATATTATAATTTCGTCCAAATAATTCCAAATGATTGAAATATTTTAAAATGTATTATCACGATTAACAATTAATATATCACAAAGTTATTTTTTTAATTGCACGAATTATTTAGTTTTTCTTTATCATATCGTATTTGATAAAATTTATTCTTTTCATGAAATTAATGTATGCAATCTTTATCTTCACAGCTTCACAAGCGTTATCTCGAGGAATGTAATCGTGGGAACCGAACTTAATATTGATCCTTAAGATGATTCCATCCGAATGTATTCTGGACATATCCAATGTGTTTCATTCCACCTCTGTAGTAATCGAAGGAAGTTGCATTAACAAATCCGAAGCCACCGCAGTGCTCAGAGATGTATCAGCCCGTGTTCACGGCGGTGAAGTCTTAGCCATTCTAGGATCGAAAGGTTCCGGCAAGCGAGCACTCCTCGATGTTATCGGTGAATAACTCCAATCATTTTTCCAATCAATATTATCGCGCCTTAAAGTAATTTCTATTAATTTCAATCATTTGCAAAACATAGCGTATCCATTATAACTTTTCCATGATAATAATTTAATTAAAGTTACCATTTTTACATTCATAATTAATTCCTTTTTTTATTTAGTGCATCTTTGCATCACGCTTTAATAATTAAAAATGTCATTGTAAAATTTATTAATAATATATAAATATAACATATATATAAATTAATAATAAATTTAATTAAAAATGTCATTTTGAATTTTATTTAAACAAAATAAAATGAAATTTATGTAATTAAAAATGTCATTGTCAAAGAAAAAAATAGAACAACATTGTTAGTGGTTACAACACATCTAAATCAAAGAACCTATCCTGTTTCAGCCGGAAGGGCGGAAGGCGAGACAAGAGGGAGGATCACCCTGAACGGCAACCTGCTGACTCCGGAGTTATTCCGACGTCATGGGGGCTACGTGGCCCACAGGTGTCATCTGCTGCCGAGTCTGACGGTCCGTCAGACTCTGACGTATGCCACGTGGCTGGGCAACCTGAGCAATCGCGAGGCCCGGGTGCGGCAGACCCTCGCCGACCTGGCGCTGTCGCAGGTCGCCAACAGGTCGGTGAACGACCTCACCAGGCCGGAGTATCGGCGACTGATGCTGGGAGCGCAGCTGGCCAAGGACCCGACCCTGCTGCTGCTAGACGAGCCGACCTGGGACACGGATCCGCTCAACACGTACCTCATCGTCTCGATGCTGTGGTCCTACGCGACCAGACGCGGCTCCATTGTCGTCCTCACCATGGAGACACCCAGATCCGACGTGCTGCCCTTCGTCAGTCGCGTGACGTTGCTGTGTCTTGGCGCGGTCGTCTACTCGGGACCTACCAGAAGCATGCTGGACTACTTCACCTACATCGGCTTCCCGTGTCCTGAATTGGAGAATCCTTTAATGTATTATCGTGAGTGTCGAGGAAGATTAGCTAATTCCGTTTAACATTCTCTTGACGCAGATCCTTACGTTTGAAGGAACTGATTGATTTAACAATCTGATTTAGAACTAATTTGGAAAATCTCTTGCTTCTTTAGTTTGCTTATCGACTGTTGATCGCCGATCCAGAGATCGCTTCTTGGAGTCGAATCAACAAATCTCGGTCCTTGTGGAGAAATTCAAGGTGGACGGAGTGCTTTACATGAAGGAAGCGCCGCAGATATCGCACAGCATGAAAGACGTCCTGGGGATCATGCACAAGGGTCTAGGTCGCGGAATCAAGCCCGGATGCTTCTCGACTCTTTTCGCACTTTATTTGTGAGTTTCTCACAAAACATCTTGTAAAGAGAATAATAATTCGCGATCATATTATATAATAAATTATATTTATAGACGTGGTATGGCGGCTACCTTCTCCTTGAATAAGATCGGCCTGGGACATTTCGCTGCTCGTCTGCTATTGCTGCCGTTTCTGGTTGCCCTGATGAGCATACTGTATTCGCATTCGAGTCCCGTTCAATCAAGAATATTCTTACAGACCGGCGGTTTGATTTTCAACGTCTTGACGCTATTTTACGTGACCGGGATAGCCGTGACGTCACTTTTGTGTAAGTTATCCTATGTGTAAGAACCCCTGCTAATTTATTATAATATCTAATTTACTTACAAATTTCCAATTCCCTTGACTTCAAGGATATTATTTTTTAAATATTTTTTCTCTTCTATTTTTATTTAATTGCATATTAAATCTTCTTCTAATCTCTGTGTTCAATTTAATATTAAGGATTGATATAGTTCCAGGTTTCCGCGCGAGATACTATCAAGAGAAACGGGAGGGTCTCTACGGTGGAGCGATGTTCCTAACAGCGTATACCATGCTGAGTCTTCCGCTGAGCTTCATATCGACTCTGATAACCATCGGGATTCTGGTGCCGATTCTCGAGCTGGACCTGCCCTCGTGGGCGTACGCTTCCGGAATTCTGTGGTCCAGTTACGTAGCGGCCGAGCAAGTGACAGTAGCCGTGCTGATGGTGGTCGGTCGTCCATAACCGGCGCGATCACGGTGCTGTACATGACCCTGCTGTCCCTGGTAGTCGCGTCCGGAGCGATTCGCAGCCTGAGGAATCTGCCCTATTGGCTGGCGATGGTGTCCACGGCGCTGCCGACTAGATACGCCTCTCTGGCGCTGAATCAGCTGGTCGTCGACACCCCTATTCTGTCCAATTTGCCCTACAACGAGAGCTTCGCCTGTCCAAGCTCTGCCGAGCTCTGCAGATATCCTGACGGCAAGACTTATCTAATAGAACGCTTCACCAAGGAGGGCGAGAATATATCCGAGGTGTTGAACGTGGATCTGAATCTGCTGATCTCTTTAGCGTTCGCCGTTGGCCTTATTATATTAAATAGCGTCTTGTATCTGTTGCCGCTACCCGCTAGAGTAAAAGCTAAATTTAGAGAATAAAAAATTGTATGTATTGCGTTGACAATCGGATATATTGGAGCTGAATAATTCTAATTTCAATTTTCAATGTATATAAAATTGTAAATAACATGAAAATTAAGATTAATATCGTATGATCGAGAGAGAAAAAGAAACGCGTATCAAAAATATTAAAAATTTTTATTTTATAAGATATATATATATATATATATATTACAAAATATTGCATTTATATTGTAATGCTAATTATGATACAGCATATGTATGACTTTGTCATAAAAGCACACATCGTACATATAAATCGTTTTCGTAATTTTCAATTGAAAAGAAGACCATATGTACATTTTAAAAACAAATATTTAAATCTCTCGTGTACAATAAAATATAATTAACATAATAACAGATACTTACATTTAGTCATAACAATTATCTGATGTTACATTATATTACATGAGGTACTACCATCTATAAAAAATAGAAATATTACAAGAATATTGATAGAAAATTTTGCAACATAAATAGCAGTCCTATTTTTTGTTTGCGTTTCATTCTTCGCATAATAAAAACATTTTCGTGAAATTTTTAATTTTTGAGTCATGTATATATAGTTTATAAGAGAATAAAAAAATTCTTTTTGATAATTAAGCGGAATTATATCGTGTATTATTTATAATTTATGAAATATATTTATAATTCATGACTCACACATCATGACTCATCAACTTCAACTTGTCCCATCTCTTTCAAATCATCGGCAACACTAAATTCGCAACCCGTCGAACTGACAATTTCACTAATATCGATATTAGCCGCAATTTCAATAAGTTTCAATCCTTCTCCTGGCACGACTTCAAATACTCCCAGATCCGTGATAATTAAGTTTACGCATTGTTGACCTGAAGGAACAAAAAGAGATAATTACATATATGAAAATAGCAGCAAGAGAAATAAACATATATTAGCAAATATCAGCATTAAAATATAATTGCTTTTAGTGACATTAAATAATAAAATATTATAAAATAACGTAGACAAAATTAAGAAATTACGAAATATTAATGTAGAAATATTTGTGAGACGTTACCTGTGACAGGCAAAGTACAATTCTTCAAAATTTTCGGGCTTCCGTCTCGGGCTTTGTGCTCCATAGTTATCACTACCTTCGTATTTGGTGAAGATACCAGATCCATAGCACCACCCATGCCTTTCACCATCATACCTGGTATCATCCAGTTGGCCAAATCTCCATTCTCCGATACTTGCATGCCTCCAAGAATAGTCAAATCAATATGTCCTCTATAAAGTACAACATTGTTAAAGCTGTTCTCTTTAACTCTCTATAAGATCAGTATTTGTATAATGCACTAATGTATTACACTATCTAGCAACTAAATTTTTACATGTGCCATCTTTAATGCTAAATCTTGAATTTTTTTGTCGGAAGAAAATTTGTTCATTAAGATCGAGTAAAATTACTTTTTAATTAAATCTCTTTGAAAATTGTAGCAAATTTGTTGTAATTCTAATTAATAATGCAAAGTAATATGAGATGAGATTTATAATTACAAAATAATAAATATGTATGTATGTATGTATGTGTGTGTATATATATATATATATAGAATATTGAAATATATTCATACATCACATTAGCATATTAAATATATATATATATATATATATATATATTAAATATGCTAATGTGATGTATGAATATATTTCAATATTTGTGCGATAAAAAGTATCAGCTTTAAGACAGTTTAAATACCCTCGGATCATGCCAAAGCTTTCATCACTGCCAAAGTAAGCTGCACCAGGCAGCACCGTTACAGTTTCCTTTCCAGCATTGATAAGATCGGGATCGACATCGTTCTCGGTCTCCGGGACAGGACCCAATCCAAGAATACCGTTCTCTGATTGCAACGTCACTTTCACACCTTTCGGGATGTAGTTACTAGCAAGCATAGGTATACCAATTCCCAAGTTGGCTGTAAAATGTTCATCATATTAAATAACTAATAAGGGAACTTGGATATTTAAAATCAGTATATCTACATATTTCTCATGCAGACAAATTATACTGTTCTTTTATCATATTTACCATACATTCCATCTTTAAATTCGAGGGCAGCGCGTTTGATAATCCTATCTCTCGCTTTGCTAGCTGGAGTCACTTTCTTGGGCTTCATAGTTTGTCTCGTTGATCGTTTCTGCATACATGTATGATGGAAAAAATAGCATTCATGAAAAATCTGCACAACTAAATACATCTAATAATACTGACAAATATCAATCCATGTCTACCTCGATTCGTTTCTCGAAAGAGGGTCCTTTTATGATTCTATCCACGAAAATGCCGGGCAAATGTATCTGATCGGGATCTAATTGGCCGATTTCTACGATTTCTTCCACCTCGACGATGGACACCTTGGCTGCTTTGCACATCACAGGGTTGAAATTCCTGGCGGACTTTCGGAAGACCAGATTCCCCGCGGTGTCAGCCTTCCACGCCTTCACCAGCGCAAAGTCGCCAGTTATCGCAGTCTCCAGGACGTAATTTCGTCCATCGAATTGGTTGACGTTTCTCGGCTCGCCCGAGATTTCAGCATTACCATCCTTGTCGTACTTTAGGATAACGTTGCCCTCTTGCACAATAGTGCCGAAAGCCGTGGGAGTGTAAAAAGCAGGAATACCAGCACCACCTGCTCTCACACGTTCCGCCAAAGTGCCCTAAAATAAAAATCTGACTTGTAAAAAATTGCAGAAATATTTTTATAATATTTAAAATACTTTTATAATATTTATAATATTTTTTATAATATTTATAATATTTTTCGAATATTTTTCTGTCCTGGAAATTCCATTACCTGTGGTGTTAATTCAACTTCCAACTGACCGCTGAGATACTGCCTCTCAAATTCAGGATTTTCACCCACATATGAAGCAATCATCCTCTTGATTCTATGTGCTTTCAGCAATAAACCTAATCCAAAGTCCTCTACGCCAGCATTGTTCGAAACTACAGTTAGATCTTTAGTACCCTTGTTTAATATGGCTGATATTAGATTCTCTGGGATGCCACAAAGACCGAATCCACCGACCAACAGCTTGGCTCCATTATGCACATCAGATACAGCTTCCTCTACATTCTTAAATACTTTACCATTCCCTACTGGTGCTTTCAACTTTTCAATTTCCTCTTCTTCTTGTGGAATATCTGCTTTGATGGAGAACTTAGCAATGCATACCTGTTGAATAAGATTTAAGAGTCAGACTTCGTAAAAGTGTCTTAATGTTTAAATTTTGTCAATGTTTAAAAAATATAAAGAATAAACTAATTTTATACTTGTGTATTGACATAAAGTATGAAATATATCAAAAGATATGGAAATATAATATTGAGAAAAAATATAAAAATGTGAAATAAAAAAATTATAATTGTGTGAATAATAATAAAAATTAATGAAAAATTTAATAATCTCATATATAAAATCTATTACAAAAAATAAATAGGAATAAATTCCAAATAATTATCTGGGGCTAGATAAAGTAAACAGGTTATGTATGTAATTTTTACGCAGTATCAAAGAATATCAAAAATGTTGTTTACCCGTGATATCTTTATAGAACCTTGAGTGACTCGCGAGTTGTTGCTCAAACGCAGAAACACGTCACTGGCTTTTTTAATACAAATGCCATAATCACTGTATATTAAATAACCAATTATTATTCACAAAACTTGTCTGGTCGCATAAAAGGTTGAATACGAATTATAATTTTGATCCAATATTCTTCAGTTTTTAATTTTTTTTTTTTTGTTTTGCGATATTCTATTCCTATTTCTATTTTCGTCGTAAAGGAAATTTAATCTCGATGTTGTTTTGAAATGTATCCGGCAAAATGAAGTAAACCCCCCTATTAAGTGCTTACGCACAGAAGCGCAGATGCTGACTGACAGATTAGGTTATCGGGCCAGCTGGCTCTTTTCGCGCATGCGCGTCGATATCGATACTGCAAAACGAGATATCGAAGTTCGAGAATTCAAATTTAAAAGAATGAAAAAGATATACGCGTACATGCTCGATGAATTGTTATCTTTATCAGGGATTCGCTGATTGGTTGATGATGTCAGATGATATTCAGTATCATAAACATATGTATTTTACAAGTTAAAAAAAATGAATAAATAAAATAAACAAATTAATAATTTACAATTATTTGATTGTTTAAATTAATAAATAAAACCAAAACGTTTCTGATTATTAACTAACATACGTACTTTACAAATTGAAAAAAAAATAAATAAATATAAATAAATGAATAAAATAAATAATTTACAATTATTTGATTGTTTAAATTAATAAATAAAAGCAAGTGTTTCCCGAAAGCTATACATACCGCTGTATTGTTTTTTTATTGTTAAATCTGATAAGAAACATTTTTAATTTATAGGTATAATAAATGTAAAAAAAGACAGAGATCTTAAAATGTATCCTTTTTCTCTGTCTCTTTTTTATTCCGGCTCCGATTTTTTTAAGATAATATAAAAACTCTATCAACAAAAACATGTTTATGCAATTTGATAACGTCAACGTGAGCTTTAAATGAATCTTGTGAAACTGCAATCTAAATAATAAAGAAATAATCTATATAAGATAGCATAACAACAGATTAGATATATTTTATTTATTCTTTCTTAATTTTTGTAATATATGAAATTATGTGTGATTTTCCAATAACTCTATTTGAAGTTTTATGGGAGATATTAAATAATTAAATATATAACTAATTACATAAAACAAAAAGAAATATGCCAAAAATTTTATGAGCGCAAAAGTACGATTATTTATTGTGCTCAATAAATATTTATATAATATATCAAATAATATATATTATATAACATTCTGAAAAATTATCTTTCTTTTTCCAATTGGTATTAAATGAAAAAATTAAGAAATTAATTTATTATTGTATTATTGTCATTTGTCATAAATATCCGTAATCTTGTCTTTTTTAAATCTACAATAAAAAATATAATTGAACTTTTAATCAAACATTTTTTTAAAAGTAATAAAAATAATTCTAAATTAATTATGAACTTCAAAGATATATATTTAAAATATTGTTAAACTCTGATTTATTCTATATTTTAAAAATGTAACAATGACTCAATTTTTTAAGAGATATTTTATATTATTTTCCAAAAAATGTAAGTTATAACTTGTGTTTCCTACATCATAAATTGATTTACAGTTTAAACACTTTGCAGAGACCAAACAATATGCTGTTTCACTCTTGCATGACTTGCGTAATATCTGCTAATAATACATGTTTTTTAAAGACTGATTTCTTCAATACTTTGTTATCTCTGTCAGATAAAGAAGTCAGTTACTGACAACGATATTACATTCTATAAATATATATAGATACTTGTTTTCATCGGCTGCATTATGATTAATCGATATATATAAAATCATATAAAAATTATGCATATATTACAAAGACTTATTTTATTATGCCAGTAGTTAAATAATAATTTTTTGTACACTTATACACTATTCTCACATTGTAAACTTATTCGCTCTTATATATATGTATTAAAATATATTAATTCATTCTTATCACTCGTGCGAAACATTTTTCAAATACTCGGAAATTAATGGATATTAATTGGCTCACATTAGAATAAATATCATCAATATTGATTACTAGCATGATAACATGAATTTAACGCTACGTCAACATGTTTACGCTATGTAATTCGAATAATTAATATTAATCGTTGCTAATATTAAATTGCTTTTCATATGTTTAGATCGACATCGATTCGAATAAATAGTAAACAAAAATTGTTTTGTAACTTTAAGAAAATCAAAATTCGTATCTGCTTAGCATGTACATGAATAAAAAGATTTTTATAGTAGTAAAACCGTTATTGATACCGTATATTCTATTTAAAAGTAATTACTTAAATTTGGTTACTCGTGATTTATTATTCGATATTACAATAAAATTCGTTTTGTTTTTGTAAAATAAATAGAAAAATCTGCGAATAAATTCGCATCCACATAAAAACAAATTTGTTCTGCTAAAGCAAAATAATCTGCAAATGCATTTTAATATTGAAATCGTTATCTCTTTGATAGAGCTAGATAAGAATAAATTTTTTATTATAGCGAAATAATTTGCAGATTTAGCAGAATTATTTTCAGCAAATTCTAATTAGAATTCTTAACATGTCTGTTTACTAGTCTACATAATAATTAACTGATAAAGTTTATTATGTCAATAAACTTTTTGTCTTCGTAAATTTTTATTATTATAACATTGCAATTGTGACGTGATTCGAAAAATAATATATGTATACATATATCAAATCTTGATAGAATTTTGTTGTTGCTTCTCTTTTCAGCTGATTAGAGCATTAATAATATTATATAAATTTGGAGATGAAGAAACATGAAAGAAAAGATTAGAGAAAATAATATAATAAAGATAGAGGAAGTAAGGAAAAAGAAATGCAATGGAAAAAATGAAAGAATAAATAATGAAAGAAATAAAAACGAGAGAAGAGAATATTAGAGAAAAAATAACGCTCTGAAGTAAATTAATACTTTTCTCTAATATATAAAATTTTAATGCCTCAATCTTAATAACAAAATTCTTTTTTACTGCGGCAAAATATAAAAGCTATTCTCAATTTTTTATAATCCAATCTGCGAAAAATCTTTCATCTATTCTTTTCTTTAAAGACTTTGCGCTTGCTGTATGACACAATGTACGATACAATATTTGGAATGTTACAGATTTCAATCTGCATTTTAGCCGTTGAATGCTTAATTCTGTCGTATTGATAAATTTGCAAATCGAATCAAAATTTTTAAGAAGCGTAAATCTCGATAACCACGACTAGTTAAACATTTCAGCTTCCAGAATCCTGATGGTAACAGAGGAGAATAAACGAATGTCCACTTTTCACGTGGGAGAACACTCGTTTACGAATAATTTTATCCAAAAATGTCGTTTCAACGTAGCATTCAGCCGTTTATCTTCCTTCAATATGTATCGCTGATCGTTTATTCATCATCGATCCCGGCGTCATCGATGTCGACCTGCTCTGGCATCAGTTACGGCGCCCCACAATTCGATGACGAACTCGTCGGTGAAGCCAAAGTCCTCCAAGTCGGAATTGTCTATCGCCTCAGCAAAATCTATGCTGTTGCATTTGCCCTCGGCGAGTTCCCAGATTTGAGTAGCTGCAAAATCAAATCAGTTTTTTTGTTCAATCTGGCAAAGTGCATATGAATCTTATAAAATCGAAAAAAAATGACAAACAAGATTTCATTACATATATTTATTTATATCTAAGGATCCAAAAATCTACCTAATTCCGTATCGGAGATTCCCATAAAACTCTCCAAAATGGTGTTGATCTTCTCGACGCCCAGCGCAGCCGCGTCGTCAATCTAAAAAAAATTTATAATATAATATTTATTTTAAAAAAATATTTATAATATTAATAATATTTTATTTTATTTATAATATTTTTAGAAAAATGAAATACATTCAATTCTCTCTTTTTTTATGACATCTTGAGAACTTCTGACAAATTTATCACCTATATATCTAATTTTTTGATGAGAGAGAGAGATTTCAGTTTTTATATTTATTTAGCACTTTTTTACGCGTACTTGTTCTATGATCTGCGTGCTGCCGTCAGCTTTGAATCTCAGAGTCTCCTTGCCGGATCCGTAGCCAACTTTCTTCCCTTTCCTGGGATCACTGCGCGGTCCGATGCTGCCGAAGCCGTTTTTCTGCGGCTCCACCAGCCTCAACGTGAACGTTGAACCCTTCGGGATGTCCTTCAACATCCTCGCTACTTCGAAGTGCCGTCTGCCCACGAGACTGGTCAAGTTGATTCTCTCGATATGATCGCCCACCTCGATCACCTTTATTCTATCGATCACGGAGCCCTCCTTTATACGCTTTATGAAAGCGTAACCGGCGCCGTTATCGGTGATAGTCAGACCTAATGCATCGTCCGTCTTCACCAGCTCGATTTCCTTCGGTCGACCTGCATCAGAAACGTGTTACTCTCTTTCACTTATGTTCGTGAAACTATTCGGATATTATTGAATTCCAAGTAAAATACTACGAGAAAGATTTATACCAAGTTTTGTTACGATGTGTCTTAAATGAAAATTGCTCCAATTATTTAGTTACACTGACGTTTAATTAAAATTAATCTAATCAAGTGAAATTGATGAATTGCCTTTGATCATAAATTGTTTTAAATGGGATTCAAATTATGTCTATGAAACAATTTTATTTGATTTGATTTTTTAATCCTAATTCAAAAACAAATTATGTCTAAAATAATTCAGAACATGTTTAGAATTATAAATTAAATAGAAATTGATATTTCGATTTCCATCACAATTTTTTCAAATATGCTCCTCTTTTTAATTTTACGAAATTTTTGTATTCTTTATTTTTTTCTATAAATAGCAAATGATTCGTTCTTTTATGCAAACCTTTTTTATGTGCAAATATGAAGTCACCCACACCGATTTGTCCACCTAGTAACTCCGTCATGTCCACTTTGTGCGTGTTGAGTGTGCAAAAGAGAATCTGGAACGTCAAATTTTTCAATTTAATTTTCATTAATTCATTCTCAATTTCGAACAATTTCTACTTAAATTTTTTAATGAAAATTACTAAGCTTTACGTTAAACTACTTCAATTAAAATTTTACCTAACAGAGATTCTTATGGTTTTACATATATCGTAATCTTATGAAAGTTTGATCACTACCTCCAATTTAAATTTCCCAAACTTTCTGGATTAAATACGGACTTATTTTTGTTAATGTTCTTTATATAACTACGGTAAAGTGCAATAGTTTATTTTGACGTCGCAATATGAAAAATTGCTCGAACCCGCTCTTCAAGCGACCCATAACGAGTTAACAAGCGACCTGGTTACAACCGCGTGTACAACATCGAATTACACATGGTTCTCTCTCTCTCTTACACATTTACATAGACGTATCCGCCGGATCAACGAGGATGCCGCGGTCCGTGACCGCCGTTTCCGGATTCGTGTTTCCCTACACAGGGCGTTTCGTACTGGAAACACTGGTTTTCGTATGTGTTTTTTACGTATGTGCCGTCTACTTCGTCATGAATCGTCTCTTTTATTTTTTATATTTTTTATTATTCGAATAAAATTTTGCTTTGCAATAAAAAATCATAAACTTGTAAAGATAGAAACGAATTTGAAGAGAAAATATAAAGAATGTGTGAAAAATGAATAAATAAAACACACTGGAATCCGACGTGGGAATTTCACCTTTTAACACTAGATGAAAAAAAAATGATATCCTACAAAGAGAAAAGTCATTCAAGTCAACTGCTTATACACCTGGCAAAGAAACAGTAGAGTCACTTGAAGTCTGACATGAAGCAGCTATAAAGCCTTGAATTTATATTCATTGAATCCTCCTTTTTTTCTCTCCTTAACTAAACTTCTCGAACAAAACGAGTCTTCTTACTTCTTCAGCTGGCAAGTCGTAGCACTCGGCAATCTTCTGGTAGAGCTCGCGGACGTTGCTGAAGTCCGATATAAGTCCCGTGGGACTTCCGTGGGCCAGCTGGCAGTGGAAGACGAGCGGAGGCGACTTCATCAAGTCCCTGGACGAGGCTCTCGTCTGCTGCTCGCGAGGCTGAAGAGCGGCGTTATTATTGCATGGCCGGCTACCGGAACCGTTATTACCGCTCGCGCCTCCGTCATGATTGTTGTCATCGCCGACGTGATGATGGTTGCGATACTGAACGCCGTTCGCGGCTTTCTCCGTTATCGGCGACCTCGACGTAGCCCGCGCCTTGAACAACGGCATTCTCGTCTCTTTCTCTGCGAGGTGTGAAAAAAGTTAATGATTTTTAACTGAAAAATGTGTTGATTTTTAACTTCAACTAGTTAGTTTGAATCTTAATAACTTTTTTTATCTAACAATAAGTTAAATTTTACTTCATACCATTTATTGATTTTTATATAAATTATAAACGTATTATTTTTAAATTACCAAAAAATATATTTCTATATAAAAATCAAAATTCCTTTGTTATTATAAATTTGTAAAGAAATTTTAATTTAATATAAATCATGTTTTTAAAAATTAACTTTTGATTTAACTTCAGTTAATTTAATCTTGACTTAACTGAGTTAATTTTTTGTTCATGCAACTTTTAATTTAATTAAATTAATTTTATAAGCAACTATAACTTTAACTTAACTTAGTTTTAAAAAATCATTAACTTACCCAGCCCTAGAATTTATAATTAGAGAATGTTTAAGATCGCAAGAGTTATTGTTATCAAAACTGGCAGATCGATATACAATAATTAATTAAAAGGTAGGGCCAGATGAACAAGAATGTGCAAAATGGGTATTTAAATCCATTTAAAATAGAAAATGCAAAATGCAAAATGCTTTTTAGACACGCATTTAAAGTAGGAAATAGAAAGTGGGCATTTTTGAAATAATTTTTTTGAAATAAAAATGTTTAATAAAATAAATTTTTCCATATACATATGTATATTTTAAAGTCTTCGTTTTTTTATAAAATTTTTATAAACTTCAAACTTTATAAGCTTTCTTTATAAACTTTCTTTTATATAAACTTTATATATTTTTAATATAAAAAAATATTTTTAATACAAAAAAAATAAAATATTACATAAATATATACATATACATACATGTGAATTAGAAACATTTTGATTATTACGTATATATATATATTATTAATATCTCGATTAATTTTTAGTTTGCAAAAAAAATACATATGAAATAAAAAATAGAAAATAAAAACCATAGGAATTTTACATTTCACATTTCCATTTTAAATACATCTATTTCAAATAATGCACATCCCTGCTGATGAAATATCTTTAATCCTTTGCATTCTTATGTATCTGATAAGATGATCTGATGAAATGAAATGTCTTAATGATAAAGACATCATTAAGAAATCTTTAAGACATCTTTAAAGAAACTTTGTGATATAAAATATCCAAAAGACATCTTAAAAACATCTTAAAGATTGTTTTATGCGTCAATTTACTGATATATATTTTCGAAGCGATTATAATTATGTATAAAATATATTTTTTGAATTTTTGTAAAGAGATTTTCCAATAATTGTTTGCTATGTTGAACGAGAAAGATTGACAAGATAATACTGATTTGCTAAAATTATCTTGGTCTATATTGTAAAAGATCAACATGCAATTCACATAATAATGATTAATTCGAAACGGTTTGTTTTTTCGTGTGAAACCACCGCTCTATTTCTCACTTTTCAATTCTTAATCAGTACTACGAGCTCTGAAAAATCCTTACATTTTTTTCATTATATATTTTTCATACAATTGTTCATTATATATTTTCCAGGATAATGCTGAGGAAAATCTGACATTTTATGGATACTTCAAAGTACATTATTTGAAACAATCGTTTCCTTCTACTGCGAAGAAAGAAAATTAATGTGATCATTAATAAATTAGTATATATTTTTTTATCCTAATGGATCTAGAATTGTGATACGTTTTGTAATTTCGTAATAAAGGATTAGTCTTAGATAAGAGAAATGAGAACCACGGCGAAGAAGACCTACAGTAATTACAGCCTCGCGATTTGCCGGCTGTGCAATAAGATAAAAATATTTATCGGCCACATGTTACATAGCACGGATACAATCTAGCTGTAAAGTATAGACGTAAATATCTATTACACATTACACCTCGTACTTTGTGTTCCTTTGGATAATAGACTCGTTTTCAATTTTATCAAATTACTGTGTTTTAGAACGACGTGTGCAGCAATTTATTTATGTACAGATATGTCTGTAAACACATCTTTAATAATGTGATGACCCCAAGACTAGTATTATTACATTTCTACCTTCGTGTTTTTTAGTTTACACTTTTACATCGATTTTTTTCTCGTTAAACATGCTTGAGAATAATGCTTAAAATTTATTGATGTAAGATATTAAACGAGTTTCAAACAGACAACTTATAATTACAGAAATATATCAAACCTTTGTAATTATTCTATTTCTTGCAAATAGTAAGATATAATTAATATATTGTAACTATTTTTTATTATGATAGAGAGTATTATAGAAAGAAAAGTGTCATATAATATTTTTTTAACTTTTTTATATTCTACTATTTATTAAAAATAGATGTATGATTAATTATCAGATGCGATATACTATATGATTTGTAATCGTTTAATTTTCAATTTTAACAAATAACTGTAAATATTTATAAATATTTAATATATCGCGAATATTTGTAAATATTGTTTTGCGATTGTATAATTGCACGATTAAAAGTTGTAAAATAATAATTCTAAAATAAATTTTTCTAAAAATTGTGCAAATATAATATTATTTTAGACAAAATCTTCATCGTCATCCACCTCATTTGTGCACCAAGATCAACTCATTTTACGGTACTTATTCCTCGCTTGAATCATTCTTCATCGGGCGAGAAATAAATACCGTATAATGTGTCGACTGTTTTATACACATTCTACTTTTTTACAGTAACTTTGCATCCATCAAAAAAATTAAGCGAGATTTTAATTAAAATCTTACGAAACGTCGTTTTTTTCGCGACATTCCTTAACATTTCATCAGGCTAAATTATTAATTTATTAACGACAATCAATAATCGATATCAAGAGCACAAAATCGAATATAAATATTTGCAAGTCTGATAAAAGGTCTATATGTATAAATATTCATCAAGTGTGATAATTTCAAGTCTCAGTCACAGAAGACCGCGATCGCGAATCGAAATCTAAGATCTAAATCTTAAATTTTCCATATCAGCATTGAAAAAAAAATCTTGTTGCATTAACAAAAATTGTGTTAATGCAACAAAACTTGTTTCCCAGTGCAGACGATAAAATGCGATAAATTCCGATGTTCGCACTCTAACGCGAATACATCACGGTTCGTGAAACTCGTAATTTGTTATTAAAATAAAAATTATTTACAATTCCCTGTAATATTTCATAGCTCGAGCCATTGCAAAATACACGCAATACATCCGATGTCACGCGATTTCATTAGGAAAGCAATATTCTTGTTCAACACGATATTATGCAATAACGAAGGAAGCGCGGCCGCGAATGCAGCAAATAAACTACCTGCGATTTTGCTATTCGCGTCAAATTGAATGCATTATGATGCAATCGTTATTCAGACATATCTAAGAAATAACACACTTTCTTCTAGTTAGAAGTAGCAGACGGTAAGTCGGAGGAATTTAAACCGATACGATCTCGATTAATTTTTGTATCTAATTATTGCAAAAATGTACGATTTTTTAAATGATTTTTTTTACAATTGGCACAAAGTATATTTTTATCCAATAACGTCAAAAATTTATTTAATTTTCTTTCTTTAACAGAAAGAAAAATAATTTTTAATATATCTCTTTTTTAACATTTTTAGAATTTTTTTATTTCAAGAATGTATAAATCTTTTCATAAATTTTAATATAGATCGCATAAAATATGACAAAGAAATGCGATAAATACATAATTGAATATCTCGTATGTCATTAATTTTATCTGATAATTCGATGAAGCGCGATATCTAAAAAAATTTGTGCGATAAGGTATATTGATTCCACACAAAACGTACTATTGTAATATAATTATACGCATAATATACAGGGTTGGGTAAGTTAATGATTTTTTTAAACTAAGTTAAGTTAAAGTTATATAGTTGCTTATAAAATTAATTTAGTATTAAGTTAAAAGTTGCATGAGCAAAAAATTAACTCGGTTAAAGTTAAGATTAAATTAACTGCTGTTAAATCAAAAGTTAATTTTTAAAAACATTAGTTATATTAAATTAGAATTTTGTTTCTTAATTCTTTAAAAATTTATAATAACAAACAACAATACGGATATTTTGATTTTTATATAGAAATACAAATTTTAGTAATTATTTAGTATTATTTAGTAATTATTTTAGTATTGATTTTTATATAGAAATACAAATTTTAGTAATTATAATTGATGAAAATGAACATTAAAATTAATAATACATTAATTTTAAAATAATAGGTTTATAACTCATAAAAAACAATAATGGTATTCAGAGATAACAAAATTTAACTTAGTTAAAGTTAAAAATTAATACATTTTTAATTAATTAAGCTAAGTTAAAAGTTATTAACTTTTAACTAATTAACTAGTTATTACCCAATTTTGATAAAATATAAAACAATCGAATAAAAAGCACAAATGGATTCGATTTATAGGTCATTTACATCGCAATCTCTGACTAAGCTGTTGCGAATTTCGCAAACGTTATTTCGCTTTAACAATGCAAACTGTCAATTATGCACAATATTTTGTCATTCTAATGGGCTTTGATTATGGTTAAATGTCTGACAATCTAGATCGCGTGATGCATTGTGATTCGGATTCCTCATAGCATTTCCTCGCCATTAATTATCAGTATATTGAGAAACAAGATCAAATAATAAAAATTCGCGAGTGATTGATTAATATATTAGAATTTGAAAAATAGGCTGGGTACATAAACAATATATTTTTTTAATTAAATTTTGTTTTATTCATAAGAATTTATGTCGAAATCATTTACTTTATTCTTGCATAATTACTAATATAACAATATAAAAATATTTAACATATAAAAATATTTAAAAAATATAACACAAGTTAATAACTAGGGATGAAATCCACTGATCTTCGTATCTTTAACGCTTGACATTTATTGCACGACATGAACAAGAAATAGCTCTTTCTCTAATCTGATTGTTCAATCATTGTCTATAATCAGGCGGTAGAAAAATAAGTGACGTTTATTGCGGCTCCAATTAATGAAAGTGAGGAAAGACGAACTTCTCTGGAATTTGACAAATCGCGAATCAAGCAAAATGTAATTATGCAACATACTTACATTTTTTATTTTTCGTTTTGTCTATTTGTTGTGCAAGATATTGAAATATAATATAATGAAAATAACGATATCCTCTTTTTCAATATTAAATCTTTTCTTAACTAAATAAAATTAATATTGTATTTAATTACTTATTTAGTATACAATTTAAATATCTATTATGTTTGCGGCTATATTTCCTCCTTATTAGAATATTACAATGCGATTGCACTCTGTTTCTAGCAATTCGAGAGTTAACTATTACTATAACTAGTTTCATTATAAATCCGGAGCAGCTTTCGCCGCACAAAACCTGCTGGTATACATTAAAAGTGATTAAAACTGATATCAAGACCGTGTGCCGCGACACCGAGCATGAGCATGAGCATACAGTGCATAAAATAAATATAGGGTGTCCCAAAACCATCGAAACGTAATTCAAAGATCCAAGTGAATCTAAATAAAAGTAATAAATAAATAAATATAAATTTAATATAGAGAAATTTTGAACGGTATTATTCGCTCCTAGATCCAAGATCGCTTCTTCTTATCAAACTTCATTTATTAATTGGTTATTCGTAACTTTTTAGTATGCAGAATAATATTTTCTCATTTATTTATACATTTTAAAGAATTTAATTTTATAAAATTTTTCAAGTTTTTTTACAGACTCTGTTGCTTTACAAAAAATTGTTAGCAATTTTCTAAGCTTTATCGCGATATGTTTTATTCTATAAAATTTAATCATAATTTTCATTATTTTAAGTATCAAGATGTGATAAATTTTTCTAATAATGTATACAAACAAATTTAAACATGTACAGATACAGATGCTTGCTACAGAAATAAATATTGATTTAATAAATGAAAATCTAACCAGATAGATGAGAAAGATATTGTATTTGGAAAACTACTTGACGATTCGACATCAATTAATTGTCAAAAAACGATGGCATTTCTCTACAGATTTTTTCCAGGGACACCCTGTAGAACACGTAGTACGTCGATACCGTAACGTTACGAGCGAGTACACGCTGGCGTGTACAAATAACACGCAACGCGTTCAGGAGCGAGGAAAGATCGGCCTCTCACCTCTTCTCGCTGACGTTCGGCGCGCACCTGTATCCCGTATTTTTGTCTCTTTCATTTTTTTCACGAACGCGACACACGCGCATTTATCACGGTAATCATACGATAGATGGTAAAATTGATTGCGTGGCACGTCACGACTGACAGCCACCGCGGGACCCGAAATTACTCCTTTTTTCTCTCTTTCTATATATCCTGTAAAGAAAATATGTAAAATTACATTAAAAAATATGTAAAATATTACATAAATAATGATTGTAAAGTTGCACGAAAATGTATACATTTTCATGATATTTCGTGCAATTTTATGCTTATTATTTATGTAATTTTACATATTTTTATGTAATATATTACATATTTTTTACAGTGTATATGTACATGTTATCACGCTCTCCGCTCGCTCTCGCTCGATCCTTATCGCGAATTCGCGAATAAAACGCGTGCGAATTGGGTTGCTCGATCATTATATCGTTGGATCATCAGGGCCGGCTCTAGATAAAAATTCGCGAGACTGTCAATCTTGCTACAAAAGATCGGATGAAATGAAACAAATTAATGAGATCTCCTTTTGAATGATGACTATCTAATTTTAAAAATTAAAAATCAGCTTTAAACTGTTATTTGATTATCTTCTGTTTTTTTTTACCAATTATTTTAAGTTTCACTGATAACACAGTAATTAAAAAGAAATTTAAACAAAAATTAAGGAAAGACACTGCATTAATAAATAAAAAATATATAAATCAAACAATGACAAAACATATATGCTTTGTTTTATAGCATTTCACGCTTTTTGAAAGTGCATTGTATTATTTCAAACTCATTTTAAATCAATTTCCAATTCAATAGCAGAATAATATTATAATATAATATATATAAAATTTAAAAAAATTATTGTTTAATCTAATAAAGACATATATAAGATAATAAATATTTTTAAATTTTATTTCTAGAACTTTATCGGAGTCATATTTGAAAAATGCTTAATTCCATTATACTGATATAAAATAATAAAACATGGCACGCCTATCTTTTCTACTTCGCATTTAGCATTTAGCTACATCACTGAATGACCACATCAGCATCTTTAATCGCAATAAAAAACCGGCGATTCTTCTCAATTCATTTCCTTTTCGTGAAAGATTTCTATTATTGTTCTCTCAATCAACTAAAATGACCGCTTTTATGTCACATTTAGATTTTAAAATTGAGATTCAAAAGAATTTAATGGCCATTTAATAATTCACTCAATTATGAATATATTCAGTAGCATCACTTTTGATCGAATCATTTATATATTTAAGGACATATTATCACAAAAAATCTCAAAAAGAGTTAAGAATATATTCGTTGATATTATAAAATATAAATATAAAAAAATCTCTCTATTATTCTTTTACGTAAGAAGAATTCTTACAGGATACATTATTTCATAATATCTATATAATATTCACAATTTATTCCAAAAGAAGGGTTTCATTGATTTTCAATACAATTTAAGAGTCCTCGAATATCCTTTCTAAAAAATCATTTCTTCACTTTATCGCAACTTTTCATACCTTGCAATTCGATTTCTCACATATTCACGCCGGAAGTCTATGATGTCCGGAAATCGCTATTCGGAGCAGACACTTAAAGGGCCACCGTCACGTTTCTCTTAATCCGTTTAGCACCAAAGACGCCCTTTTGGGACACAGACAATAATTTGTAGAAAAATGGAAAAAATATCGCGCACGGATTCCTATTTCGCAAGCTCGCGTGCCACCGCAACCGGAAAGCAGCGGCGATAGAAGAGAACTGATCGCCGCGGGCCCCTTCTCGCACCAGCTGACCCCCAGAACGTGACTACCTTCAGGCTGCTACGTCACTAATGACGACACTAACAATGAGGCGCGAATTCCTCTCCATTTGAAATCTTGAATTTCGCGTATTTTTTTATTGTATTTTATTTTTTCCCTATTGTTACTTAAAACCAAGGTTGAATGATAACTAGTCAATTAGTTAAATTAAAAAAAAAGTTAATAACTTTTAATTTAGCTTAGTTAATTTAAAATGTATTACTTTTTACTTTTTTCGTAAGTTAAATTTTTTGATCTCTGAATACCATTATTGGTTTTTTATAAGTTATTAACGTGTATTTAAATTGAAATATTATTAATTTTTATGTTCATTTGTCATTAATTGTAATTATCGAAAAATATGTTATTATAAAAATATATAATTTAATTTAGTTTTAAAAAATCATTAGCTTACCTAACTCTGTTTAAAACTACATTTCTACCATTCAATATATATTTTCCAAAAACAGAATCCCCTTCCCTTCCTTTGTTTCTTTATCGCTCGATATAATGAAATCTCTTTTATGTCAAATAAAAATCTGAAACAGTAATAAAAGATAATGAAAATCTCTATTTGCATATTAATATATGTATATAAGGATATATTTCTCGCTGACGTGGAGATTGGTATATTAAATACATGTTCACACTTTTGTATATGTATTATATAGATAGATTTTTTATTTAATTAGTTTTATCATGTATAATACTCATATAAGAAAAGTATCACAAATGACGTATCAAATCGTATTGAACAATCAAACGATACAAAAATGTGTATCAAATTGTATGTGTAAAAATGTGAACACTTTCGCCGAAATGTAATTCATATTCATATAAACATTGTATATTACAAATAACGTATATCTATAATCAATTATTATCGATGCATCAAAATGTGAGATTCTTACTTTGAAAATAGTATAAATTATATATTTCGCACAAAAATGTGGAAACAAATGTATTATTTTGATTTTAATATTTTGAAACCTTACGTCATTTTTAAAATAATTGCGCACATCCGCACTCTCTCAATCAGAGCTTATCTCTTATCAAAACCACTTATAAGTAGGTTTCAAGTAGTGCAAAATAACAATAGAAACAAAATTAATACTGTTGACGAACTTGACATTTTCCTCTCAATTTTTAGATTACATAAAATTAATCTAAATATTATATAATTATATAATATAAATATAAAAAAGAAATTATTTAATTATCATTAAAATATTATTGTAAGAGAGAAAAAAGAAAATAGATTGAGAAATGCAGCAGCTTGTCAAATATATGTTCCGCAAAGTTATAAGATAGGCCCTGATCATCGCTTTCCCTCATCAAGTATTGTTGCAAAGTATGAGATAAAAATGTATATAACAATATATATGTCGTATCGTCCCTTCTTGTACAAACAGTAACAACATAGCACACTTGTTAACAAAAAAAACCCAAATGCACTACATACAGAAAAAGTTCAGTCTATAATATACGGAGATTCGTCGTGGAATTAATGCGCGACTTATTTACATCTTCTAATTTGTAAGTGAATCGCGCACTCTCGTGAGTTCTTACGGACTATCCAGACTTAATAAACATTTCCAAAACATATTGCGCGTAAATAAACGTAGCTACACGGCAGAACCTACATAGACGACCGGATACGTTAATTGATGTAATTTACACACGCCGCTTATTCTTACGTAAACGAAGCAGAATGCTTATACATTAGCATAATCTAAGGCTCCTCGTTTAAAAAGTCCGTACTCTTTTCGAGTAATTAAACGTATCAACTCGCATATATGTGTACACATAATACATATAAGTACAGGGTATCCCATAGGAAATTGCTGAAACTAATTAACTGTCGTCTTTTAATGCATACAGTTATTGAGAAAACAAAAATTGTGTTGAAAAGAGCAGTTTTTAATGGATTTAAATAAAATTAAAATGTTTATATAGCAGTTTATTTTATTGAAAAATAGTAATAAAAGTGCTAATAATCACATATGTAAACAAATGATAAATATTTTCAAATTGCGCACTATTTGAATTTGTACGAAATTCTGTTCTTTTATAAAAACTCGTAAAAACTTTTTCTAACATATAATTTTTAATGTTATTGACAAGTGTTTTAATATCTGCTATTAAATCGAACACTGTTAAAAATATTTATCATTAGTTTGTATGATTATCACCATTTTTTTAATTACTTTTTATCAATAAAATAAAATAATATACATTTTATTTATATTATCCATTAAAAACTATAAACTTTCTCTTTTTCCCCAACACAATTTTTGTTTTCTCAATAACTGCATGCATTAAAAAATGACAGCTGATTAGTTTCAGCAATTTTCTATGGGACACCCTGTATATGTCTACACATAAGTTACGTATAGTTAAGTATTTTATAATATCTCGAAGGAGAATAATACTCCGGAAGAAAATACTACACTTATATGGTCAAAAATGGCCACTCAGATATGTACGAATACTCTTTAAGAGTCATCGTCACTTCGAAATATCTATATTATAATATATAATATTTGTAGTATATATATATATATATATATATATATATATATATAATATTATATATTACTCTATTACATATATTAAGAATATTATATACTATATTACATACCATATTTTATATTTGTATATAATATACTGTATAATATTCGTCAGGACGAGCGCTATAAAGACTTCAAAATCTATAAAGATTTCAAAAGACAGTCCAAGTGTAGCTCGCGCGACCGTGTATAAAAAATTCTTGAATGGAAGCTTCAAAAATTGTGGGGAGTTAAATGCAACTCCGGCTGGATGATGAACACTTTGGGAACTTTACCGCAGTTAGACCTGTCTTCCAGTGCCAGGTAACTTCTCATCGGCACAAGCAGCTCGTCGTATGGATCCGTGTTTAGCTGATACTCCTGCATGGCAGTGTAGACGGCCCTGAAGGGCGGCTGCTTCTGCGAGTGGAAAGTGCCACGGGAACCGTGCAGCATCAGGGCACCCTCTCTTTCCGCCTCCGCACACACTGACATGTACATACAGTGATCAGGCCTGTAGTTGTATCTACACGAGTAGACGTACAGCTTCTCCGGATGATGGTGAAATATTATGTTGATGATATCCTGATCGCCCCAGGTGATCTTCAGTCTGTACTCCTTATGTATGGGAATCACGTAGTCAGTCCATCGAAACTCGCGCATTCTTGTAAGATTCATCAGCATCACTCCAGAGTTGACACCCAGCTTGCCGTAGTAAGGATGCTTGGCGAATCTGTTGTACCAGCCGGTGTTGGGATCCTCGTGTTCCGGGCTGAGGGCTGCCAGCTGGCTGGAGTTCATCTTCTTGAACTCGTCCCAGATCTTCTCTGGTGGGGCCAGAAACAGAGTGTCCGTGTCCACATAGAGCACCGCATCCGTATCATTCAGCACAGTCTAAAATAAATAAATTCATAAATAAATTCCTAAATAGATGCATAAATAAATAAATTTATAAAAGCCAATAAATAAAATATCCTAATAAAATAAAAAATAAATTCAAATAAATGCAATCAGCTGATGGTTGCTTACTGGTAGGAAGAGTCGCTGAGCTGCGCAAGGCTTGAACAGCTTCTTCCACATGGCCACGTCGCTGCCGTCCGGGAAGGTGATGGGTCGCACTAGGAAGTTGAAGGTCTTGTTCGACATGTGCTTCCATTCCGACAGTTTCTCGCTGAAGGCCGGAATTAGATCGTGCTCCGCCAGTATCACGAATTGCAGGGGCCTGTTAGTAAAAACCAGCGCCGACTTGAGCATCGTCAGAGCCTCGTGCACCCTGTCCCCGCACACCACGACGCATATCGTCACCTCGCCCGTCGACGACGACGACGACGACGACAGCGACGACGACGGCGTCGTTGTCGACGCGACTCCTGGTGACTTATTCCTCTGCAGCACCAGACGTTCCCGGCTCGCGAGCGTCTGGTCGTTCACCTTGCTGGAAAAATTCGCCGTCACGTTCAGCAGGATTATCAGCGCGGCCAGGATAAGGCACAGCAGGAACAACTTGTAAACGGATCTCATCGCGTGGCGCGTTACGTCACAAGAGCTGTCACTTTTTTTCTCTCTCCGTCTCGCTCACTCTATCGCGCGCGCGACCTGGTTGGCAGCGACCTGGACGGCATTTCGGATCCGCTGGCAGTGAACACCGCGTCGTCGATGCTGAATCTCTGGGCTCAGGAGATAGCAAACGCCATTTTGACATAACCTTTAACAGTCTGTCTCTCTCTCTCTCTCTCTTTCTCTTTCTTTCCTCTCGGATCATTTATACATTTATAAAAAATAATTTACAATTTATTTAATTATTATAATAAATTATTATTATAATAGAATATTATAATAATAAATTATTTATTATTATTTCTTATTTATTATTGTTTTTATTTATAATTATAATAAAATAATTTTTACTAATGTCTACTAATGCGTCCCCTGAGAAAGTAGACGTGAACTACGTCGTCACGCTCGGTAAAAAGCACGGTAAATGGTTCGATTCCGTGATATGGTTCGTGTTCAAATTTTATAATTTTATTTATGTATATGTACTTGCATTCTTCTTATCATTAATTTTATATAGCAAAACATATTGCGCAAAGAGATGTGCATTAGGAGAATATAAAAAATGTAAAGAGATTCTAAAAAGTCGTATTTACGAATTACGAACAGTATATATGGAAATTATTTTTTATAATAAAATTAATGAATTATTTATTAACTTTTCCCATTTATGCGTAACTGAATATATCACGATTGTAGATCTCGAAATAATACATTTTTATATATTTATATTTAAGTAAGTATAATGGAAATGACATAAATAATCAAATTAAGAATTTATAGCAAGTTGTAGAAAACTATATATACTTCGTTCGATGATCTAAATAAATAAATATGTAATTCGGATTGCGCAGTAAAAATAAATATTTCGAAATCTCTATCCTCCTCATATGATATAATTTTATGGTAATATGTATATATGTTTAATATTTTAAACAATCCAATATCGTAGAATAAATAAATATTAAAATAACATATTAAACTTTATGATATATTGATTTTTTAGTTAATATTAGTAATAGACAACACAATGACAGAATGTCACTGCACATGTGCATATTTAGTAACTAATAAATTAGTAATATCGATAAATTAATAGTAACAATTGTGTGTTAGGAGATATAATAATAATAATAATAATATATTATAATTAATATAATGAATTAATATTAAAATAGAATAAATTTTCAAGTTATGTATTATATATAATTACAACACGATTTATTATTGATATATGTTATTACAAAAGATATGCACACTAATAGAGATCATCATTATATTCGGACATGATAATGAATAATGTTACACGCTATGAATCTGATTGTACTTTAAAGATAGTAATTGCTTCTCTATGCTGCTAATTATCTTCCAATCTACATCTTGATAGAAGAGAGTATCAAAATCTTGATGGCTCATCATTGCTTTCAGTGTTTTTTTTGCATCGTTCCTATAAAAGAATAAACAATTCACATATATATTTCTACATCATTTGCTAAGTTAGATTTCATCAATTTCAGCAATCAATTCTTCAATTTTATACGTAGTTTCTATTTCATATTTTAAATTTATTTATAATTATTAAAAGAATTAAGTTAAAATCTTAATGTTTTAAGATATGATAATAAAAGTAATTAATGTTAAAGATAATAATATTACATAATAAAAGATTTAATATATTTTTTATATTACTCTTATAATATTCTGCAAAACAAGCATCTCATATAAATATCTATTTATCAAAAAAATGTGTTTTATAAAAGGAGTTCTCATAGAAATATAAAAAATATTCATATAAATATTTACACAGTTACAAAAAGTTCTTATAAATATAATGATATATTTATTGATTAGATACCTTGTTTCATTATTACCATCAAGAAGAAATTTGGCACACATTGTAAATATTTTTCGGCGGCAATCCTTAAGATTTGGGTTTGATAGTAAACATTCCACTCCAATAATATTAATAATATTATAAAGCAGTCGACTTACAGTCGCTCTTATTAATGGATTCTTGTGGCTGTATATAAAAAATATGATACCAAAAATTTCATATAGCTTACAATTTAGTAACACAATAATGATTAATCAAAAACTCTGTATAATAAACGTAGAGCAATATATAAATATACATTTAAATATAGACACATCTATGTATTAATGGTGAAATAAATTCGTTCATTTACCTGGCACCATGTTCGCTGGTTAATATCCGGATAGAAATTGCAGGAGGCAAATGTGTCACCATAGAATCCAAGGCACGTTGAGCATCATTTCGAATTCCTTTGTTCGTGTGTGTACTTTTTAAAAGCAACATAGATACAAGTTCATCAAATTCAGGTCTTTGTGTACACTGGACTGTCTTATATAACTCCATCGTCACCTGACAGACAGACCTAACGACATGAGGTCTTGTATTTTTCAGTAAACTGTAATATAAAGATATCAAATTAGTAAGATATAAATATAAAACAAAATAAAATAATAAAAATAATAAATAAAATGATATAATAAAATAGAAAATAATAAAAAGAAAACAATTGAGAAACATGTTGAACATAGTGAAATATAGTGAAATAAATATGAAAATTGTCGAGACCTGCACAAACTTCGATATATGCGAGGCATATTAGAGTCCAGCAATTCTGGTTGAATCCTTGAAATATGCACGAGCTTTATTAAAGCCGGTATGGTGCTTTGCCATTGACCCTGTTTTAAGCTTTGCAGCGCATGTTTTAGAGTTTCTTGTAGATTCGTAAATTCCTCTGATATTCCTGTACAATCATTCTCCAGTAGAGTTGTGTAATCTCCATAATTGGTGATAGAATTAGGATCCTTTGTATGTTTGCTACATTGTAAAAGGAAAAAAAATACAAATTAATATTTAAATATAACATAAAAAGTAATTCAAAATTTTCTATTTTTTTATAAAACACATTTTTCTTATTTAAACACTATTTATTTAAATTGCTATAGAATATACATTATATGTTAATATAATGCACATTCTATTGCAATTTAAATAAAGTGTTATATAAATAGTGAATATATTAGAGGAAAATTCTAGTTGCATAGCAAAATATATTAAGAAATTAAATGCTCGCGGAAATACCTATCGATTAATCGTGGATCTCCCGAGGCCCCCGAATACGCTGTTTCGACAAATCGAGTTCTCATAACTTGCGTTGAATTTGTATTCTCACGTTGAATAGATACAGAAGCCGTTTCCATTGTTGTCGACTTACCTTTATTTTTTTCGAGATATATTTATTTATCGCAAAATAAAATACGCGTCAAAGATTATCTATGCTCGTCTAAATGTCCCTACCTGCACCTTTACACATAGGACATGTAATAAATCTCTTGCATTCCGTGTGCGCCATCTCATTGCAAATTTATATCAGAATATAAGGCAGTATGTATAAAGGGATTATATTTTTGCAAGAAAAAATTCGCGATTACTTCAATACTGCAGGAATTTGTCCGCTTTATTATCTTCGTCTTTAAGTGTCCATTTTAAACATGCAAGCATCGCTTGCATAACTTTCCATAAAAGCATCCTGCTTCAGCATTTAGATAAGTTCAAGCAGATGCGCGATATTAACATTTATAAAGTTTTACATAAATGCTGAACAAACATTTGTTAACATTCATTATTTATATGTAACAATTGTAACGAATATTACTACTTTAATATTCTTTTCAATCAGATAAATTAATAGAAATAAATTATAAGACTATTATAATGTATTATTTACAAAAGATGGTAGATTCAATATGTGATTATTAAACTCTGACAAAAAAAGACATTTGCAAGTTCTTCAAAAAATTTTTTTACACAATATGTAAATATTTTTATACATATATTATTTTCTTTTCTCTCTCTTTCTCTCTCTCTCTGTCTATGTATATATATTAATTATAGCGTCATCTATAATTAAAAAGCTGTAAAATATGCTGTAAAGTAGCTGTAAAAGCTGTAAAGTAGCACAGTCGCATATTTATCTTAATGGATACAATAAATTGGTCCTTTATAAGTCGACAAAACTTACTTCGTTTTGTTGAGAATGCACTTTTTGTCAGCTAGTCACAATTTTCTAATCAACCATCTTGATCCAGTTCAATGACACATCGCAGTATGTAGTGTGCTATAAATACACTTATCAGTCGAGTTCCCTTAAATGTCGATTGGGAAGTTTGACGCGTATTTTTACTTTGTTTTCTTAGTTTTAGTTTTACACTTCTCTTTCGTAAATGAAAGACTAATGGCATCGTTGCTATCGAACGTTAATTAAAAAAAAGAAAAAAAAGAAAAAAATTGACTCAGTCTATGTATCACGATGGTGGTTTCTCTAGCGAAATATTATGATCCAAATGATCGCAATGTATGGGACACTGATAGTACGATACTGCACTGGCGTGGCCAGATCTCCCTGATGTCATAGGCACACCTTGGATCCATTGGTCCTGAGTCGGATCGTAAATTTCTACTATATCTACAAACGTCGCGCCGTCATATCCTCCTGAAAAGAAGGGAACATGCGTTAGCAATCATATATATAATGTACTTTTTGAAAAAAATAATATTCATAAACAGGGTGTCTATTCAAATTATATAAAATATTCCCTAATAAAATTAAAAATATAAAACAAAATATAATTTATTATAAACGTCTAAAGAAATACTAATTTATTTAAATATTATCTATTAGAAAATTGAACAATTTTCTATAAAATTTATTATTTGTATAAGATCTTGATTTTAAAAATAGATTGTCAATTAAAAAGTCAAAATTTTACCAGGTTTTCAAGATTTTTCAAGGTATCAACAAAATCGTACGCTTACCCATTGCATATAATTTGCCGTCGAGGACGGTGACGCTTAGCGCACTGCGAGCGATACTAACACTGCTCACACTTTCCCAGACGTCGTGTTCCGTGTCGTATCTCTCCACCGAATTCAATTGCGATTTCCCGTCGTATCCGCCTATAACATATATGTATTGACCTAGACTGGCAACTCCAGCCCCGGAGCGACTGCACTCCATAGGCGGCACCATCGTCCATTCGTCGTTCTCAGGATGATAACACTCGACCGAACTGAGACGATCCTTGCCGTCGAAACCGCCAATCGCGTATAGCAATCTGCAATAAGATCTCGACATATCATATCTATTATATTATGTCAAGTAGCCTTACCAAATACCTTAGATAGGGTTTCCTTTAATCAAAAAGCGGATATGATTTTAGAGATAAAATTGAAACATGTATACTATCTCTAATTGAGAGCAATACTAAATATATATGTATATAATTAGTATTAATAATATATCTCATTATATATAATAATTCATTTAATTAATATAATCTCATTAATAATCTTATAATTAATATGATTTACTTTAAAAACTGTGTATACTTAAATGTACTATACTATTTTGACATAGCTCAACTTTTCTTTCAATGCGATGATTAGTATATAATACCTATTCACTACTGCTACTCCTACGCCTAATCTCTTGATGTGCATAGATTTGACACTGGTCCACGTGTCTTGATCTGGATCATAACATTCGACGCTATTGTGATAGTCGGCACCCGCGCTACCTCCTACAGCATACAATAAACCATCCATCACGGCGACTCCGACTCTATTCCTAGGTACCGACATTGGGCTGCAAGGTCGCCATTGGTCCGTCATCGGGTTGTACCTGTCAACCCAATCGCTGTCGTACCTGAAAAGTACATGATTGTTTTTGTATTACATCTCAAAATTATATCTCTAGCTTCAGTATTAGCAGAAATCATGAATTGCGTAAAGACAATCTGCTGATTGTAATCTTTCCTTGATAACTACATTTGATATATAATTGTAGACTGTTTAGGCAACACACATAATTGGCATCCAAGTGCTAACCTGCTTCCTGGTGAGTTATGCCTGCCGCCGACCGCGTAGAACATTCCTTTTAGAAAGGCGCCGCCTAAACCGGATCTAGGTACGATCAGCTTGGCGTGTTGCGTCCACGTCTTGTCATCGGCGTTGTAGCCTTCCAGCACGTCGAGCGAATGCTTAAAGAAACCGCCAGCAATGTATATCACTCGCCGTGTATTCGGTGTACGCTCCTTGACAATTGGCTTCTTGTGCAGCGTCAAGTCTTTGAAGATCTGCGCGAGGTACTCGCGACAGGCCGGCACCTTTTTCAGCACGTCGCAGTTTTTCATCTGTTCCCGCAAAAAATTCGGCGTGAGATACTGGCAGCGTACCGCGTGCAAGATGTGTTCCATCTTGGGTCGCCTCGCGTCCTCGTTGTACTTGACCCACTTTAGCACAGCATTGTAAACCTCCCTTTCTTCTTGCACGTTTAACTCGTCTTTCCTCACCAGCGCCACCAGCTGTATGGCAGACAGTTGCAGAAATTCCTCCTCTTGGCATATCTGGTTAAAATGCTGGACGATGAACTGATTTGCCTTGTGGTACAAATCATGACAACCATGCTGCTCCGCAAAGTTGGCGATTCCAATCGCATTCGTGGGGTCCAGTTGCCTCTCCAAAAAAACACAGCACGCATCTATCACATTAGTGACCTGTATCGCAACAGTATTTAAATGTTAAATCACAGATACATGATAGATCATTTTTTTTTCTGCTATCTACTCATGTATAATTGACACAATGCATATCACTTTCTGCAATTGTGATCTCCATTTTCACATACTTGGAACATGGTAGCTGCTGATAGCAGTGAACACACTGTAATCTCAGTGACTCTTATTTGACCAGTGTACATGAAATACATTAAACGAGCCATTGTTGTCGGACAGACACCTTGGAGCTTCACTCTTGTCATCTCGCATTCTTTTAATCCTCCGGTAAACATTGCCTGGAATTTGACCATTGCTTAAATTTTGACTAAATAAATAATTTACACTAATGCACAATAATCTTTTTTATGGCTAGTTAAACTCACCTTAAAGTAGGGACTAGCAGCTGCTAAAATAACTTTGTGCGCATGGAACAGTTCGGTACCAACTTCCAGTATAACGTCAGTCAGCATATGATGGCTGCGCATCATGAACATCATCTTCATGGCTTCCTTAAGATAATTTGCCATGCAGAATGTCATGTCCCCGAGGTCGCCTCTGTGCTTCTCCGTATTGAGCATACCCTCCCAATCCGTTTCTTCCCCTGATACGAGTGGCGTGTTCGACGCATTATTGCTCTGAGATGGGAAGCCACTTCGTGCCCCTTTCTTCTGTTGATAATCTCTCTCCCCATCCATTAAATCGAGCTGCAAAGCGACAAGTGGAGAAGTGCACCTTTATATATATATATACATATACATATATTTATATATATACATATATATATATATATATATATATATATATATATATATATATATATACACATTTACATATCTCGTGTCATTATACCAAACAATGACTATACAATCGATCACGTATCTCTCTCAAAACACGTAATGTGTCATTTATTATTCCACATACCAGAAGTGCTAACAAACACCGCTCACACTTTTTCAGAACCGATCCGGTCCTTCAAATCTACAGATGTCAAAGTAAAAAAAAATAAAAAAATAGAAACCTCGAAGATACTTCGCACACGTGATCGCGAGATGTTTTGGCGGCGAAACTCGCGACATCATCATCATCATCATCATCATCGTCGTCGTTATCATCTTTGTCATCGTCGTCTCCCATCGGCGCGGACTCTCTTTTTCTCTCTCTCTCTCTCTCTTTCTTCCCTTCTGCGCGCGCATGACACATGACACTTTGACACTTATTTGACACTTACCCGGCTGGCCAGGATCGCGGGCGATCTACTGGCGTCGAGGAATCGTCGAGACGGGGAAACTCATGTTTCGCGATCGGAGCTCGCCGAGAGTGATACAACACGATGACGATGACGCAGGCATCCTCCGACGCCGACTCTGCTCCGCCGATAGATGCGGCGTCACGCGGACGTGTGCGCACTAAATAATGTAATATAAATATATATATATATATATATTATATAGATGCGTGACGATTTGCATACGCACGTGTTTGCCGCTGTCGATCGCGACTCGAGTGCCCGATCGGGTGTCCCGGACACGCGCGGGTGGGATGGTCTCTCTTTTGGAGCCGCGACAAGAGATCGCTTCGTCACGATTTGCACTGTAGAACTGTAGATAGGCCGGTGTACCTTATTAGTCCGCACCTCCGATAGTGGTCGGCTAACTGGCTGGTTAATAATCCATCGTGTGTATATGATATATGTGTCCCTGACGGTGACTCGGTAATAAATAAACGAGGAAGAAATATCGCGGCGTAAAAGTATGTGTAAAATAAAAGACCTCCCTCTGCAATTAAAAATATTACTCATTTCGAGACGAACGCGTCGAATTTATTTAATTTTTAAATCGTTATTTATTTGGATTTTTTATGTATTTTTTTTAGATTTTTTATGTTAGTGTGGATACGGGAAAATCGTCGGTTCTCTTTCTCTCTGTGACATTGAATTTCTTTGATCGATTTCGTAGAATGGATTAATAATCGTATGAAGCTGTGTAATTACAATAACGTGAAGCAAAAATAATATATGCGATGGAACACAATGCATTTAAAATTTTCTCGAGATCTTTTCCTCTTGAATAAAAATATTTTTTGCTGAATCCAATCTTTGATTAATATAAAAGAATATTTTAAATAATAATAAATCTTTGATTAATTATTTCTATTATTGCGAGAATTCTTTAAAAAAATCTCTTCTTTTTATTTTTAAAATTTTTGATTCTTTTTTTATAGTTGCATTTCTTATATACACTTTTCCATAAAATTTAAAAAATCAAAAGAAAAATAGTTAAAAAATAATATGCATTGTTTTTCTTTTTCTTTGCTTTTTTTAAAATTTATGAATATATCAATGAATTTTTAGAGCAATTTAAATATTATGTTTCTTATATTCTTCTCTATTTAAAAATAAAAAGAAAAATTGCTAAAATAAATGTGCATTTCTCTTTTCTTTGCTTTTTAAAAATTTAAACATATATTATAGTAAATTTAGAGCAAAACATCTTATACATTTTTCTCTGTATTTCTATAAAATTTAAAATAAAAAGAAACCTGCTAAAATTTTTTCTTTTTAAAAATTTAAACATACACTGAATTTAGAGCAAAAATTTAGCTAAACTTCTTCTACATTTCCTCGTATTTCTATAAAATTTAAAATAAGAAGAAAAATAGTTAAAAAGGAATATGCACTGTTTTTCTCTTTTTTGCTTTTTTAAAATGTAAATATATATATCAGTGAATTTAGGACAATATACATATTATTGTCATTAATTAAGTCATATAGTGTTGTGTTACATATATTTTAACGAAGGCATATGGTATTTTGCGGACGTGTGAAATCGAGATATTCACATATGAACGATGGACAGACAATATATAAATATAATGTTTAAAATATAATTTTCTCACCTTTCGGAGATATTTTACATACGTAGGAGAGAATATATCTACAGATAGAGAGAATCTATAGGCAGATACATCATCATCGGAATAAAGTGCGCCACGTGAAAAATTTCGCGAGAACGACAGAGGAATTAAGAGAGGCGCGCGTAGATATATGTATAGTGATAGGGAAGAATTTCGCGTTCTTTTCGTCGTCAGGACCATGAAACAGCAATCGTGACCGTAGATGACTCGAATGACTTGCAAATTCCGCGGCTCGTTCGCCTCGACGACGTGCGTAATCGAGCGAGCGATACTTGGAAGCGACTTGGTGCGCGATATACATATATATTTTCGTGTCAGCTGTTCCGCGTCCAAGAGATAGATACGTAGAGATAGATGAATTAATCACTTTTGACAGTCATGATAGTTTTAACGGAGATGAACGATAAAATATACACTACTTTTTTTTTTGTTTGTCACAAAGGCTAAACTGAATAAATTTAACGTACCGTTGTTAGATAATAAAGCAGATATATATACATATCTATATATGTAAAAGAAGAAAAAAGAGCGGAATATGTACATATATATATATATATATATATTATATCAAAGCGGAGCAGATATAGTCATAAAATACAATGACAGATATATTATTATATAATTGATAATTGAATAATTTAATATAAATTTCTTGATTTAATATTAATACTGTTTGAATAATTTTCATTCACCTTTTAATTAATTTTTTAATCATTATCAGAGAAAATACTTTCAGAGTTATTTTATCACATATCATATCATATAACCATAAAATGTCGAGCCATATATATTATTAAATAATATAATATATGTATATAATAATAATTATTATTAATTATTATAATATATAATAATAATTATTATTTCATATACTCTTAATTATACATATATTTCTTTTACCTTCTTCAACAGACAGTTTCAATATTTTTAGAAACATATGCTCCATTTTCCTTTTTTTTTCTTTATCAGAATCGGTGTTTTTGCTTCTTCATCACTGTACATACATAAATATAAATAATATATATACCAGAGAGAAAGATGAGAGCGGCCAGGCCGGCGTTTTGGCTGTTACCGTTTTTACGGGACTGCTTGAAGCGCCCCTCGCACCCGTTTTTAATATCGGAACTAACTGCACACCCATTTTCTGGCAGGGTCGATAAAGTTTGTATTTGGTGCGAGTCCGTGCTACGCCCATAATTTTCGTGTTAACACAGTATCACGTATTCATTCTGTATATGTGCGATCTTTTCTCTTTATTTATATATATATATATATATATATATATATGTATTTATATAATTTGTATAAAAACTAAAATATAATTATTAAAATATATATATATATGTATATGTGTAATGAAATATATAAATCTTATTTTAATTAAAATAAAAAAAACGATTAATTGTTCGACCACCTGGATTTTGGAATGTAATTTTTAATATATATTATATTATATTTAATATTTATCGCCGCTTCTATTAATATGAAGTGCAATGTCAACGTGCAATAATGTACAATTATTTAAAGTTTCCATGCCTAATGTATCATGCCGGTATAAAAGAACGTCAAGTAGCATGCGTAGCCGAGCAACTAAGATGACGAGCTGAAATCGTAGACATTTCAAGTTCAAACCCCTACCTTTTTCAGATTTTTTTTTCACTTTTTTCAAATAAGTTATTATGTGTATAAATGTGTAATAATCAATATATCATTATTTGATAATTTTTTTTGTAATGGAACAAAATAAATTATTTTTTAATTCTGCAAGGAATTTAATTATTAATGCAAACGCCCACACACATAATTTAGATATTCAATTTTTTTTAGTTCAAATGTTTCTTGCAATCTGTATACGACAATCAGTCCACTCGCTGTGCCACAGATTGCATCGCATAATACGCTCAGAGTTATAATACGATAGAGATCGCTTTACGCTGTTTTTCCTTGAAATAAATAAATTTTACGTGTTGTGTACGCGTGTTTAGTATATTTGTTTCTTTCATATTAATTTTAACTATAATTAGTTTTTTAATTAAGATTATTTTAGTGTTAGTTGTTTATTTGTTAGTGTCCTGTTTTCTTTAATTTCGCATTTTTTAATTTTCTTTTTTTTTTGGTGTTGGTGCTAATTATTATTTTTATTTTACAATGTCGAGTAAACACCGGTTTTACGATAAATGTGTGTATTTAAATTGCACAAATATTAGGACAAAAGATGGAAAACGTTTATTTCGATTTCCATTACAAACGGGTGCGAGACATGATTTATGGTTACGCAATAGTGGTGAGTTTATAAAATTGATTTACTTATTTATATCAATATATAATATATATTGATATGATATATGAAACAAATATATATATATATTCTTTGTTTTTTTTAATAAAATATGTCAGATATTATGTATGTTTACGTATGGATTACGTTGAAGTGTTTCTTTGCCGCGTTTTTCTGATCTCGCCGAACGGTTCGCGAATCCTGTGCGAATAAAAAACGATGCGCGTGTGTGTGTGCGTGCGATTGTGATGATCAGTTTCAGTTCGTCTTCAACGCTTGACGAGAGAAGAGGTCCCGAACTGCTGTAAGTTTATAAAAACATATTTTTGTATAACACATTAGAACGATTTTATATTATTTTTTTTGTCTAGAAAACGTTATATTAATAACCGTTATGAAAACGATCTCGACGACGGCGACGATGCCGGTGACGACCGTCGTCAAGATCGTTTTCATAACGGTTATTAATATAACGTTTTCTAGACAAAAAAAAATAATATAAAATCGTTCTAATGTGTTATACAAAAATATGTTTTTATAAACTTACAGCAGTTCGGGACCTCTTCTCTCGTCAAGCGTTGAAGACGAACTGAAACTGATCATCACAATCGCACGCACACACACACGCGCATCGTTTTTTATTCGCACAGGATTCGCGAACCGTTCGGCGAGATCAGAAAAACGCGGCAAAGAAACACTTCAACGTAATCCATACGTAAACATACATAATATCTGACATATTTTATTAAAAAAAACAAAGAATATATATATATATTTGTTTCATATATCATATCAATATATATTATATATTGATATAAATAAGTAAATCAATTTTATAAACTCACCACTATTGCGTAACCATAAATCATGTCTCGCACCCGTTTGTAATGGAAATCGAAATAAACGTTTTCCATCTTTTGTCCTAATATTTGTGCAATTTAAATACACACATTTATCGTAAAACCGGTGTTTACTCGACATTGTAAAATAAAAATAATAATTAGCACCAACACCAAAAAAAAAAGAAAATTAAAAAATGCGAAATTAAAGAAAACAGGACACTAACAAATAAACAACTAACACTAAAATAATCTTAATTAAAAAACTAATTATAGTTAAAATTAATATGAAAGAAACAAATATACTAAACACGCGTACACAACACGTAAAATTTATTTATTTCAAGGAAAAACAGCGTAAAGCGATCTCTATCGTATTATAACTCTGAGCGTATTATGCGATGCAATCTGTGGCACAGCGAGTGGACTGATTGTCGTATACAGATTGCAAGAAACATTTGAACTAAAAAAAATTGAATATCTAAATTATGTGTGTGGGCGTTTGCATTAATAATTAAATTCCTTGCAGAATTAAAAAATAATTTATTTTGTTCCATTACAAAAAAAATTATCAAATAATGATATATTGATTATTACACATTTATACACATAATAACTTATTTGAAAAAAGTGAAAAAAAAAATCTGAAAAAGGTAGGGGTTTGAACTTGAAATGTCTACGATTTCAGCTCGTCATCTTAGTTGCTCGGCTACGCATGCTACTTGACGTTCTTTTATACCGGCATGATACATTAGGCATGGAAACTTTAAATAATTGTACATTATTGCACGTTGACATTGCACTTCATATTAATAGAAGCGGCGATAAATATTAAATATAATATAATATATATTAAAAATTACATTCCAAAATCCAGGTGGTCGAACAATTAATCGTTTTTTTATTTTAATTAAAATAAGATTTATATATTTCATTACACATATACATATATATATATATTTTAATAATTATATTTTAGTTTTTATACAAATTATATAAATACATATATATATATATATATATATATATATAAAAGAGAAAAGATCGCACATATACAGAATGAATACGTGATACTGTGTTAACACGAAAATTATGGGCGTAGCACGGACTCGCACCAAATACAAACTTTATCGACCCTGCCAGAAAATGGGTGTGCAGTTAGTTCCGATATTAAAAACGGGTGCGAGGGGCGCTTCAAGCAGTCCCGTAAAAACGGTAACAGCCAAAACGCCGGCCTGGCCGCTCTCATCTTTCTCTCTGGTATATACTCGACCTGAAGATAGCCGCTTCCGGGTGAAATAAAAATTGGACACATATCGCGTCTAGTTATTTTGTTCATTAATGACTGTTTGGGAGCAACATTTCGGAATAAGTTTGCCCATCTTATCTTATATTATATTATCTATGGCGCACACATGTGCACATCTAACCTCCGCATTCAATTTTTCAACGTCTTCAATTATATATTAAATTAATTGTTTCACAATGGGAAAGCAAAAGCGACAGCGACCCAAGAGACACATGAAAAGTCCTATCGGATTACCATCTGTCAAGGAGCTCGAATTGAGTGAGGAAGTTACGGAGGGAACCAGAGAAAAGGTTTTGCAAAATGCTTATGGAGATGTAAGCATGTAAAATTTTATCAATATGATAATTGTCATCTAACAAAAGAACATATTAAGCCACTGAAACCAATAGATTAATTATTAATTATATATTAACAAAGAGGTTCCTGTTTCCATTTATATTGCTATTTTTTTTTTTTTATATAGGTTAAATCATGTAATATTGAAGAGAAATTGTCCGCTTTGCAAATATTGGCTTCAATGTCGTGCGACTCCTCTATGGCTATACAAATTGCTAAGGATGGTATAGCAAAAATAATTGGACCGATGCTGATGGATAGTAATGCTGTTATACGAGCCAATGCTGCGCATACACTGAGGGAAATTGCTGAAAATGGTGGAGAAGATGCATATATTGATTTTCTCAAGGATGACATTATGACTCCGTTGATCGCATTATTGAAACAGGTATTAAACATCAATAATAACTGATATCTATTATGAATATATACTTTTATATATCTAAATTAAAATGTATTATTATAATAATACCTTTATATATCTAAATTAAAATGTATTATTATTATAATATGCACTATTATATGCAATATTATAGACTCAAATAAAGTCTTTATTTATAGTATCATTTAGATTGGTGCTCAAAAAAACCAGGAGACGAGAAGGAGACTTTTGCTCAGGCAATTGGTTTGTTGCGGATATTATGTGCAAATAATGAGAGTGCACTCAAATGTGCCAATGAAGAGGATTTAGCATTTCTTTTAATGAAATTTTTAGATATTAATAGTTACGGCTTTGAAACTGTTACTATTACTGCACAATGTATGATATGTCTGTCGGATGAGAACAACACTGCCATTAAGAAAATCAAGCAGAACGAATCTACTTTATTCAGTTTGCTGGATTTGACAATGGATAATAATACTGCCTGCAAAGTGCTAGGTGTAAAAACTGCAGTAGCTGATCTTTTAATTAATATAAATAATTATGCAGATACTAACCAGACACATATATTTTGCAAAGTGTTGTCAGTACTCTCCGAAGTACTTGCAGTTGATCATAAACAAGTGCTGTCATGCTTAACATCCATCTTGCCCCATGAAAAAAATGCTGTCTCGAGCGATAAAAGGAAAAAGGTGCAACAAAATAAAAAGATGTTGGGATTACAAGAACAAGCTTTGCAGATTTTAGCAAACTTATGCTATGAAGACGAGGACAGTGAAGATATTGATTCTGATATTGATGATTCTGAGGAAATGGATATAGAGTCTGAATGCATGGACGATGATTCTATGGATGACAATTTGAAAATGACGTCGACGCTTCCAGTGGAATTGGTTGAAGTTATAAACAAGTGTAATTTAATTGATAAAATTTGGAATAAGACTGAACTCGTGATGGATAAAGACAACCAGGAAATATTGACTCAAACCGTGGAAGGTGAAACTGTAGTGAAACAATTTCATGATATTCAATGCGCAGCTTATTTATGTCTAAACAACTTACTATGCAATTTGGAAGTTGACGTTTTTGGTGGCGTTGATAATTTGTACAGGTAAATTATCTCCAAATTCTTCGTGCAGTAAGTGATGCTATTTTTCTATCACGTGCTTCTAATAATTTTCATTTTATTAATTCTGGCTATTTGCTTCATTCGCAGAAAATGGGTGGAAATCGGAGCGATTGTATTTAAAGACGTCGCTTCGACCAATATAGAGCTTCTAGAAGCGGCTACAGCTGCCATGAGGGCTATTCTTCAACAATTGGCCAAAGTACGGGCGAACGTTTTTAAAAAGTTGACCATCGACGACTTTGAACCGATGTTAAATTGTGTACGTCAATGTTCCAACGCGAGTGTTCGTGTCAATTTGATAAGGATGCTCTGTAATGTGGTAGAAATCCTGATGAATAACAAAAATTCCGAGAATGAAGAAAATTTCGAGAATGACGAAAATTTCGAGAATGACAAAAATTCCAAGAATGACGAAATAATAAGGGTAATCAAAAAGACGATCTTCGCGTTTCTCTTGTTCAATTAAAATTTTTCTCATAGCTATTTATCGTTTACAGTCTATTTCCACGTTCTTACTAAACATCTGCACGGTGGAGACTCACGCGTGGGTTATTGCGGAATCTTTAGACGCACTTATGGACATATTCGCGGAGGATGAGACCGACGAATTAGCGATAGATATCGAGTTGGTGCAGACACTGTCATCTTTACTACCGCGCTTTAAAACCAAAGTAAATATATTATCTTGCGTAAACTTGGTTTTTTTTTTAGAGTAATACATATAAAAATGTACTATCGTTATAATTTCTTATTTTGTAGGTGCGACAGCAGAAAAAAAAATTGAAAGACGGCATTTCAGTAGTATCAACTGTGAATGCAAACTTAACGAGGTTTATAAAATATAAACAGAGGCAAATAAGAAACCTTAGTGAACAAAGCAAACTCCATTAAATGATTATTTTACGAAAAAGGATTTGTAGAGATGATGAGATTGGAGATATTTTTACAATAAATAATTTATTTAAAGTTTCTCCAAAGAAGTGAGATTTATGTACGTATCCCTTTTTCCATATCCTTATAGATTTATTTCAGTTATTGCGTTTTTAATGGACTCAAAGTAGGATTATATTTCTTATCACAGGATAGGACTATTTCAACTTTATTTCTACGATAGGAGGCTTAGGCTTTTTATTTATCATATTAATAAATAATGAAAATTAAACCTAAAACATTTCACAGTAATATATCGCAATATATCGAAAACGTAAGACTCACTATAATAGCATGACAGAAATGCAAGAATTCTGCACTGAATTCTCTCCCAGAAGGATATGCATCGTTAGTACGAAATCATCAATAAATCTAATGAACAAGGAAACGTCATGTGTCGAAACGTCTGAAGCGAAGACGCGTAATTATTGCATACAGCCTTCGAGTGATAGCTCGTCTGTATAGACTCTCACAATAGATTCTCACATTGCATCAAAGTTTACAGCTAAAGATAATTATACACTTGCGCGTAAAAAATCACAAAAATTAAATTTCACTGGTAAATCCGAAAGTCGTAAACGAAAACTCGAAAATTTCAAAAGGATCCTCTCTTACCATCGTCTTCCGGACTCTTGTTTCCGTTCTTCACGAGCCTGGATTCGGACGCGTCTCTCAGACTCTGCGCGCTGTGTCTTCGAGGCTTCGGGATGGGATTCACCTCGTCTAGGAGCTCGGGTCTGTGTCGGATCGGCTCGGAGATGTGCAACTCGATCACCTTCACCGCGTCCCGGGGTGCCGCCATCGGTACCGGAGGATCTGTCAATCGCACCACATGAATGTCCTTTTGCTCGCACGGCAGTTTCTTAAATTCTAATTTAACCGGACCGGATGGATCGTCCACCATATTCTCGAAGAAGTGCCGGCGATTCTCCTGGATGGACAACCGGGTGCTCGTCACCTGGTCATCGTCGAGCTTTTCTTGTTCTTTGCTAGTTTGTTGCTTGCTCTCCAGAGCTTTAATCTGCTTCTCGATCTTCTCAATCTCCTCCTTCACGGAAAAGCTGTCGCATCGCGATAACGTGCTGGACGAATCCTTTTTTCTCAAACAGACTTCATCAGATTCTTGATCGATATCCTTGATGATCTCAAGCTTCTCCTGGGATGTTCTATTATACTCTATGTTTACGGAATCTTTCTCGATAGGATCCTCGGTGATAATATTCGATTGTTCCTTATTTGATTTCTCCTCCATTTGCGTCTCGAGTTTGACTTTCTCTGACGTTTCATCAGAGTTATTAGGAGCTGATCTTTCTTCCGAAGAATCCTTTTTCTCGTTCACTTCAGGCGCACAATCCTTCAAAACGTCACATGTTTCGTCCTTCACAGTGCTCTTCGCAATATCGTCGGATGATGTATCCTCGACTTTCGATAATAATTTATCCTTCTCTTCTTTTTGTGGCGACTTTTCATTCAATTCCTCGCAGCTTTTCTTCGTCATCTCGTCGATGTTTTCCGTGGCTTTGGTAATGTCGATAGGCTCGGTTATCTGAAGTTCGATTTGATTCGAATTCTCTGGCGTAGAATTTACTGTTTTCTTCTCTGGTTGAGAACTATCACCCTCCTATAAAAAATTATAATTATATTATAATTTATATTTTACAATATACATATTTATATTATAATTTATATATTTTATATATTATATATAATTATAATTACAAATATTAATATTCCAATTATATATTTTGCGACAAATTTTATATCCATTTATCAAGTTCCATTTCCATACATACTAAAGGAGAGTCCAATTGCTCCTTCCGTTTTGGTGGTTGCGGCGCTCTACGTTTTTTGCGTCCGTACGTGCTCGCCGTACTGGTAACAGACACGCAACTGTTGATGGACAAGTTCGATTTTCTCACAGCATCCTGGCTGAATCGCTTGAAGACGTAATCCTCAGGCACGTTCTCGTTCTCGTCCTTTAAGCTCACACCGGACCGGTTGGCCGGATCTTCCTCGAGGTCCGACGTGGTTCCGTTCAACCTCTGCGACGATCTATTGCCGAACCTTCGCCTGAGACAACAAATGTAATTTTAGTAAAATGTTTAATTACAAACAGGACTATTACATTTTACATTATTAGAAAAAACTCAATTTTATCGAAATTTAATTTATATATTAATTATTTACATTCTTTAATTTTATTATAAATTTATATTTAAAGTATAATTCATAATAATTATATAAAAATTTATATAAATTAAATAATGTGATAATTATATAATGTACTAATGTAATAATTTAATTTTATAATTAAGTTTATTTAATTTTATTTAAATGATACTCGCGCAACAACTGAAACTTCGAATTATCACACGTATTAATATAAAACAAGAAATAAAGAATTTTACATAGGTGGAACCGGCGTTCTTTCCGATTTGTCACGAAGGTCACCGTTTTGCTTCGGATGTTTTTCCTCGAAATCCAAAGGTGGTATCTTGTCTGTCGACCTCGGGCTTACCTGTCCGAACCTGAACAAAGTTATCGAATTATGATTTTGATTTCAATGAAAACAATTTCAATGCATCTCCTAAAATCGTATCTCTGTCATAGATTAATGACACTAATTTTAATTCCCGTATATAAAATTTCTAATTTGTACGCCAACTTTTTAATCGTACAAAATCTTAACATCTTTCCTCTTTTTTAGATTTAGAACTTCTATATTTGCTATATCTATAATTATACATATAAATTAATATCGACTGATATATGATAATATATTTATAATAATTTAATTCTGTCTTTAATTAAGCTCACCTTCGGACCGGTGGCTTTGGTGTGAGATCGACACCCATGATAGACATCGTGGTGTCTTGTGGATTTCCATCGTAGATCTTAGCGGGATCACCATTCACCGTCAAATTCGAGCTGTATCTCGAGGAATTATTATCGAGAGTGTATTTCCTTCTCCTCGTCAGAGTACCTAGGGCTTCATCGAATTCCTGTTGATCCTTAGAAAAACGCGACGGTACTGCTGGTCTGTCGTAAGGCTCTCTTTTATACGTCGTCGAAACTGCAGCACGTGATAAATTGCATTTTATTTTACGCGATCATCGGTTACGCAAACGCTCCGCTTTTTATTTCCAATCTGAGATTAAAGAGCTTATATTTTCAGATCGTCTTAAATATGTACAATATGTGAAATTAATTTTAAAAAATACTTGAAAATGTATATAATACTAATTAAAATATATATATAATATAAAATATATACATATAATACTTATAAAGAGTTTTAAAAATATATTAGATTTAAGCTATAATATAATTTAGAAAGTAATTTTTTTCATTTATTATAACAATCATATATTATCTCACATTAATAATTTTAATTTTATTTTTCTGGTTTATTAGATACAAAATATATACTTTATAAACGAGTTTAATTGATTGGGTAAACAAACCTGTTGTGATCGAGCGTTTTTCCACCGGTTCTGAAACTTCCTTGCGCTTCCCAAATAATCCATTCCTAAAATACGAAAATCGAATTCATCATTGAACTGAATGTTGACAGTATCAGCTGTTTGATATCGCGCTTTACTTTATTATTTAATCTAATCCTATACTGACAATGAATATAACAGAAAAGTGTGGACGGCGTTTAGTTAAAATTTAGGATTAATGTTTATGATTATACTGATTATGTCATTCACTTAGGAGCGCTCTGATTCTGCCAGTATAGACGATAATAACAATCGCGTTTCGCGTTGGCTCCTTAACGGATCCAACACTTACTTAGGCGCACGTGATGATGATGAAGTTGCGAGCCGCGTCGTTTGACATACTTAGAACACATACATCGGAAAATTCTAGGGTTGGGTAAATTAATTATTTTTTTAAATTAAGTTAAGTTAAAGTTAGTTGCTCATAAAATTAATTTAGTTAAGTTAAAAGTTGCATAAACAACAAATTAATTCATTGTCAGTTAAAGTTAAAGTAAGATCAAATTAACTAAAGTTACATCAAAAGTTAATTTTTAAAAATATTATTTATATTAAATTAGGATTGTTTGTTAATTTTTTAAATTTATAACAACAAAGAAATTTTAATTTTTATATAGAAATCTATTTCTTGGTAATTGATGACAGATGAACATAAAAATTAATAATACTTTATTTTAAAATAATACGTTTATAACTTATAAAAAAACAATAATGGTATTTAAAATAACTAGTTGAAGTTAAAAATTAACTAGTTATTACCCAATCCTGGAAAATTCATAATCAACAAATTAACATACAACTAGACGTGAAAAAAATTTTGCCGATTTGCGCCAAAGGACTTTTTTCAAGTCAAATAGAATTAAACGACGATTACTTGAATTTAAAAATAATCATAAGTCATCGAAAATATATATATATACATACAACATCAGCAGTCTATGACGTCATACAAACGCATTCTTATTTTATCTATCGCGACACTGTCGCGAGAAAGATACATATATATAATAGATTTATTCGCGCGAAAGAAAAAGAAAAAAAACAAAGAACAAATTGCCTAAAAAAAAAACCACGACGTACAATGAAAATCGTCCTATTCGCTATTGTTAGAGGCGCGTTGATTATATTCATCCTCATTCTCCCGCTTAATGTCACTTCCACTTTGCCGAGGATAATTTGAAGCGCACTTGTATTCGTCCTATTCCGCGTTACTCTCCGATGTGTTTTATAATTTCAACTTTCGATTCGACACGTTTTACAGCGCAGATTCTTCGGTTTCTCGCAGTTCAATTCCGAATAATTCCGATTGCCAATCAGACCAGAACTCTCATCGTTTCTAATGAAAGTATTTTTAGCCGCGTAAATAATGCGAGAATGACTCTCGGACCACCAGGAGAAAAAATGTAGCACGACTTTCATGCAATATACATAATTGTGCGAATAATTAATTTTCCCGTTATTTTAGAAAAAGAATAGATTCAATTCAAAATTAAAAAAAAAAGAAAGAATGCCAGAGTTATCTTTCATAATATCGGAACCAGCTTTCACTGATGATTTATGTTTTCTTCGGACTTTCTTCTGTAAAAATCATGAACAAGAACTATATGCTGACCGGACACGATGCACGTCGTTGGAATTTTAATGCATAGTCTAGATTTGTCCTTTGGACATTCGCCAAGTAGCGGTGCTATCGATAATCTAAAACTACGAGCGGGTTCAAGTTCAATAAACCTGATGCGACGAAAACTTTGAAATATTCGCCGACTTTGATTCGTGCATATGGAATATAATCCTGGACCTCATCTTTACAATAGGAAAATTTGTGTTTTCTTATTAAAAATGGTCCCCGTTAAAATTTTTGTGTTAAATATTTAACAAATATATGTGTTAATTTAACACATTGCTGTTGTGTTAATTGAACTTAAATGTTAAATTATTAAAACAACAGAAAAAGTAACACAATGTGCATCTATTTTTAATTTTACACAATATTCTGTTTTAGTGACACGATTTATCTGTTCAAATTTATAGAAAAATGTTGATTTTTTATTTTATAATATAAGTGGGAATAATAAAATCTAAAATTAATATATTTTTAGTTTTTTTACATTAAAATTCTATGTTAATTTTACACTAAATTTATTTTAAATTACTTGATGTTTTGCATTTATTTTGTGTTAAAATATTAACACAATATTTATCATATCCATATTATATTATATCTCCATTTAACATATCCATATTATATTAAATTAACACAAAAATTTCTGTGGACCGTTTGGGGTATGTGATACTTGTTAAATTTAACACAAATTTTTCAACTGTGTTCGATCCCGAGATTTCGGGATTTGTAAAATAATATTCCGGGATTGAAAAAAATAATTTTAATTTAAAAAATATATTTTTTTTATTAAAAACTTAGATGTTGCATTTATATCAAAACTATATTTTTAATATTACATTTCTAAATTTTAAACTGTAGAAACTTAAATTAATCTTTGAAACAAAAAATGTGCTTATATTAATAATTAGTTCTTATAACTGTTGTTAAACTAGCAACTATTATATTATTAAAATTTTTGATCATCATCAAATCATGTAATTAAATAACTTGTGCGGCTAACAAAAATATTATCGAACATAAAAATAAATAAATAATATATGTAGGATCTATAAATGAGCGGATCTATGAATGAAAATTAACAAACATATGCAAAATATATTTAAACAATTATATATATAATTAAATTAAGTCAGTAAAAATTATTTTAAATTCACACACAACTTATCATTAATAAAAATTGTTTTCAATAGATATACAAATATTTAAAAGACAATTATTAAAGATCCCGAAAATCCAGGAATTGTCGAAACTAGAAAAGTAGCCGGGATTGTATTCCCTATTCGCGCATTATTGCTCCTCTTATCATTTCCACGTTTTATCAGCTCTTTATCATCTCCACGTCTAATATATTACGAGACATACAGTCTTAAAAATATTTATTCAATCATCACTCACCAAGTAGATTTAATCGAGAAGCTGTTCGACCTTTTCTTTCGGCTTCTGCCAAACGTCCAGAACTTGTGTTTGGATTCCTTCGACGATTTTGACGTGTTGTCGTGATGTACTTGCAATTGAGAATTCGTGTCGTCATTGAATGGATTCAAGTGTTCTGGATAATCGTAGATCGATACGCTGGGTCGTCTGAGCCTCTGGGTCGACATGATTCACCCGTTAAATTTCGATCGGCGTCTCGAGAGAGATGTCAGGTGAAATGTCGTGGGAACCCCCTTCGTGCACAGGTCATCGATTTTTCGTCACAGCTTCGCCCATCCAGACCTCGCGATCTGCAAACTAATTTCGCCGGAATATTAATCCGGATTGATCGGATCGGCTATTTATATTCCGTATTAAAAATGCGCATAAGAATGTTCAAGTATCGCCACGTGTGACGTGAAAAACTACGCCTTCAACGTATTTATACTTATTTGCGCGAATATTTAAATTTATTTGAATATTTAAAATATGATAAAAAATGTAACTACGTTATATATAAGTACAATGTACAATTCATATGAATTGCTAATATTTTATTTAATTAATTCGTTACGTCACTATAATTGCAATCACGAGAGAATGATGAAATTCGTTTCGGCACATTCGCAATTAATTATTATCAAGCGGTTTGATCGTAGACGATGAACGAGAGAGAGAGAGAGACAGAAGAGCGATTTGAAACGATATAATTGCTGCATGCGTGCGTTTACTTTGATCGTTGTGACAATTGTTCGGGTTCAAATTGAATGACCTGAAATGAAGCAGAACGTCCGATACCGCCGCAAGTCGACGACGAATTAATCCGGCGACAGTAAAAGGCCATAAACACACACGCGTCACTGTTAACCCGGTTAACGAGATGTCTAATCGCCCACTGTATTACATACGCGCAGCTGTATATCGTTTGCATAATGTATATAGCTGTGTGCAAGATGTCTTTTTCTTGTCCTTTCAATTACGCAGTGCAATAATGACACTTCGATATTTATTTCTGTCTCGGTGATGATATATTTTTTTCTCCATTTTTTAAAGCACAGTAAGAAACTTCGTCTTCTTGTTAAAAACGGTTCCCTTTAAAATTTTTGTGTTAAATATTTTAACACATTAGGTAATATGTTAATTTAACATATTGCTGTTGTGTTAATTGAACTTAACTGTTAAATTATTAAAACAACAGAAAAAATAACACAATGTGCATCTATTTTTAATTTTACATAATATTCTGTTTTAGTGACACGATTTATCTGTTCAAATTTACAGACAAATGTTGATTTTTTATTTTATAATATAAGTGGGAATAATAAAATCTAAAATTAATATATTTTTATTTTTTTTACATTAAAATTTTATGTTAATTTTACACAAAATTTATTTTAAATTACTTAGTTTTGCATTTATTTTGTGTTAAAATATTAACACAGTATTTGTGTGTTTAACATATATTATGTTAAATCAACATAAAAATTTCTGTGAACCGTTTGGGACATGTGATATCTGTCAAATTTAACAGAAATTTTTCAACTGTAAATCTTTTAAATCGAGAAAAAATATGAGAAATAACAATATTTGATTTTTAAAATATTTAATATAATAGAATATTAATATTAAAAATAAATAATACAAAATAAAATAAATAATAAAAATAAAATAAATAAAATGATTTGAAATATTAATAAAACATTTTAAAATATTTAAAATCGAGTTTAGATATAGATCATATGTTTTTAGGAAGTGTAAATATAGATCTTCGTGGATCTTAAGAGATGGCGAAAGAACGAACGAATGCACGCGGCACTAAAATGCGCGTGCAAATAATGTCTAACAAATGCAATTAGCTCAATTAGCTGTCTGCGTTCGCGCTTCGTTTTGTTCATCCTACGCGATTCGGAATCGTTCGATCATGCGTAACTTTCAAATACGATTCGCATGTTCTATTATCTATTCTAACGATAGAACGGAAAATACGTATTTGAAGGTTCTATGTTAATAATACCTGCCGTTGCGTTGTCATTGCTGATGCACACGCGAATCATTCACGAATACAAATCTTTGATGATCTCAGAAAAATGCATGAGTACAGCAAGAGTGTACATATTTTTGCCAGATAGAAAAAAAATGAAAATTTTATCAAGCTTTTATTATATATTATATTATATATTTATTATATATTATATTCTTTTCGTTTTAGTATCAAAAAAAATTATAACAATTTTTTTGCGAAACACACTACATTTTTATTTCTATTTTTTTTAATTAAAAATGAAGTACAAGTAATATTTTTATCAATGCTAAACGTCAAGAATTATATAAAAGCTTGATCAAATTATATATATAAAATGTGTGTGTGTGTGTAATTTTTTGTAATCTTTTTTTTAAAAAACTTTTATTTTGGCAAAATACGAATTTCGTTATAAAAAGCATTCGATTAAACATACAATCTTCCGCGATTGTTTTGGAATGCGTTAACCTGAGTGAACTTTATAAGGCATGCGATTATCCAATAGTCATCTGAATCGTTCCGCCTTGTAATCCGACGAGCAATTCAGTTACACAGGATATGCCATACACACACACACACACATAAACACAATGACCTTTCAACTCTAGATATTTTTTGCCCAATATGGAATTTGAAATTCACAAAAATATCGAGGAAGGTCATCATCAATCGTAAACTACATCGATGTTACAATGATAGGTTTGATAAATAATCTTTGTAAGTAGGCCACACACGCATTATAAAATATATAAAATATATATAAATTTATCATAAAATTATAAAAATAAATAAGTAAATAAAAATAAAATACAATAAATAAATAAATAAATTAATTAAAAACATTAGAAACTATTAAAAATATTAGAAATGTTTCGATAAATTCGACAAAGAGAGAACAGGGTTCTATTAAATCCTGAGATATATTTTGCATCCCTGAAATTCAATTCTAAACACTGGTCGAAATTCATAGACAGACAATAGCATGATAAAATTACTCCGAAATGCTCTGTATACTTACGCAGAGATTATCGGACGCCAGAAGCGATCGATCGATCGATCGCTCGATTATAACGTAACTGTGCGATGCCGCGAGATTTCGCAACTCGGCGTTGGAAAAAGATCTCCTTGTGTATCGAGTTAACATGCATCGTCTCCCTCTACTCCTCCCCCCTTGTCGTTCATATACCCTGTGCTCCACAATGCACCACGTGGCACGTACCACTTGCGAGAAGCGACCAGAGCGTGTCGCTAACGTAACGAGCATAATGAGAAGGCATACTAAATATCAGGGTTGGGTAAGTTAATGATTTTTTTTTTAAACTAAGTTAAGTTAAAAGTTGCATGAACAAAAAAATTAAATTAAGTTAAGATTAAATTAACTGAAATTAAATCAAAAGTTAATTTTTCAAAACATTATTTGTATTAAATTAGAATTTTGTTTGTTAATTCTTTTAAAATTTATGATAACAAATAACAAAGAAATTTTGATTTTTATATAGAAATATAATTTTTGGTAATTACAATTATAATGACAAATAAACATAAAAATTAATAGTACTTTAATTATAGTACTTAAGAAAAAAGTTAATACTTAAGTTTAAGGTCAAAAATAACTAGTTAAAATTAAAAATTAATATATTTTATATTAACTAAACTAAGTTAAAAGTTATTGACATTTTAACTATTTTTTAAACTTTTAACTAATTAACTAGTTATTACCCAACCCTGCTCGGGCGTGACGAGTTGAGTATATATCTATATATAATTCCTTACGCGAGAAATAGATGCGACCATCGTGTTTGTCTTCGCCTATTATTTTCCGAATAATTGTTGCGTGACCTAATTGTAATTTATCGTATTTGGCGCGAAATACCGCCAAAGTCATTACAAAGTTCTGTAACCGTGCAAAGTCGATCGCGCGCGGAGGGGATTTAATCTAATCTTTTTCTTTCTCTCTTTTTATCGTTGTTGACGAGAATTTCACTGGCATAAGTAAGAGAGTGTGCCCCCACATTTTATTTAATCGCTACACTTCACGATGACGTGTGGAATCGATCGCTGATTTCGATGGAAAAAGAGGTATTCTTCGATACGAGAAACCGTGTACCCCTTTTTCTCTTTTCCTCAACGAAGCTAAAATAAATTAACAAAAAGATTTTCTGTATATATATATATATATATATATATATATATACACATATATATGTATATTGGTAAACGCGAGATTATGTTTTCGTATTTTACATTTGAGTTTACGTGGCGGTAAATCGTCCTTGAAAGTCGAATTGAATAATAATAAAAATAATAACTGCGATCGACCACATTTAAATGCCAGCTGTGCATAAGTTAAAGAAGCGATATATCCAAGTTTAACCACAATGATTCATTGTCCCATTCCCGGACGACAATGCAACTTATCTTATTTTCATCGGTCATTTGACGCCGCACTGGAATGTGAACTGATTAAAAATCGAGTAAACCCAACGATAAAAATAATAAAAAAAATATATATATATATATAAATAAATTAAAGATATTTTTCTATATAAAAAAATCTTTCTCGAATTTTATCGAGTATCCTATATTTTTTCCGAAATTCAGAACAAAAGAAAAGAGAGAGAAAGAGAAAAGTTGATTTCTCACATAGTATAAAATGACAAAAATTAAAAATTTTAAAAATTATAAATTTTAAAAATTATAACAAATATATATACTTCAAAGAAAGTATTCAATAGTGATGTATCGTAACTTACACATTAAACAGAGCATTAGGCAAACTTAAAAAAAATATTAATATAAATTATCAATAAAATATTAATAAAATATTATTAAAATAATTGATAAAAGTATTAAATAATTTTAAAAAATCGCAATACAGATAAAATCAACTCATAAAGGTATAAAAAAATATCGCATCATAATTGTGTGAGCGAAGTTGAAAGTCAATTCAGAATACATAAGGAGGCTTTGTTAAAGCCTTTGTAAAAGTAGGAAACTGATAATCTGGCCTCGCGCGTGAAAACGTGATTTTCTGGCTACGACCCAGAATTACGACCGCTCTATTTCACCGGCGATATATTTTTGGATCTCGGGAACCGTTTAACGAAATTATGTCGCACGTGCTCGGCGATGACTCTTCTTCTTCAGGATGTCGCGGTTCTCTTTTTTCCAAGAGAAATTTTCCTTTCATTCCGAATAAATTATCATGGATGCGCTCGAAAAAAAATTTCTAAAATTATCTTCATTTTTTCTGATTAGAGATTCAATTGTAAAACAAGCTTATAAAATTGATATAAAA